TAGTGTACGAGGACCACGGCTCTTCTGCGCTTTTTTCGGCAGGCGAACTGACAAGACAACTGATTATAAGCTTCTTAACCCTAGGTAGTACGGTTCTCATCTTTATTTGGTGGGGGGAGGGGAGGGGGGGGGAGTGGCTCAGTGGGTTCAGAGCCCCAGAGTTCTGGCCTTGGAATGAGGTTGGGGGCCAAGACGCCCGAATTTCCCCATTGGCTTTTGGGGAGGATCAGCACCAGAGAAACTTTCCTTCGTATTCCTCTGTCTGAGAAGCCGCGGTTGCCCATTATGATGCGCCTGTTTGCATTGTATTTCCTCTTCTTGTTGGCCGCCAGGGCCGACGACTGCCCGCCGGCGACATGGCAGGCCAAAGGCTCGGAGGGAGCGTCTAACCCCAAGACCCCGAAGCACCCTCGCAGCACGCTGGTGACCACTGCGGACAAAAAGATTCGGCCCGGCGACGTCAACTGCCGCTACTCGTCCACCACAAGCGCCACCGTGAACTACGACACGTGTACTCAGATGGCGACCAAGTATGGCACGGCCGTCGACCACTTCTTCATGCTGAACCCCACGCTTGAGCTGGACTGCAGCAACATTCAGCCCAAGACCGAGTACTGCGTTGATGGCTGTCAGCTACCGCCCTCCCATGATGTTGTAACCCCGGCGGGACTAACGAGAACAGTCATCGAGCCCTTGAGAGCCACGGACGGGCGCTGCGGGCCCCCCAACCGCAACGCTACGTGTCTCGGCATGCCCCACGGGCAATGCTGCAACTCGGAGACATGGACGTGTGGGAACTCGGCGTAGGTCATGTCCCACCCCCAACATGGCATTAAAGATCCTCTACTATGGCGACGAGAAAGCTGACTGACTTCATGTTCTTCGTGTGCCATATCATAGTGATGACTGCGCCCCCGGCACCTGCTACGAGGGCATCTGCTTCGGCGACAAGATATACAGCACAGACGGCACCTGCGGTCCGGACCACGGCGACCGGCTGTGCGCCGGCAAATGGGGCGACTGCTGCAACCAGGACGGCGCCTGCGGCACGGGCGACGATTTCTGCGGCCCCTCGGTGTGCTTCTCCGGCAAATGTACCCTTCCCGACGTCGAACCGCCGCCGGCTGACTGGATGGAAGGGAAAACCCCCGACGGCACGTGCGGCGGTAAGAACGGCTACGTCTGCTATGGGAGGTGGGGCTCGTGTTGTAACAAGGATGGCATCTGCGGTATCATGTTGTCGGATTGTGGTGATGGATGGTGAGTCGAACGCTTCGCTTTTCGTCTTACTATCCCAGCGTCTGTTCCTTGGTACTGACCGCATTGTGTGTACAGCCAGCCTGAGTTTGGCGATTGCACCCCTCTTAGACTGTCGGATGCCCCCCCCAGGATCTCGTCCACATTCAAATCGTCTTCCTCCATGCCCACCTCACACATCACGGCCACTCCCACCTCCCTGCCCTCGTACGGCCAGACCTGCTTCAACAACACGGCGACCCCACCGCCACTAGCGTGGCCAACCTGCCGGCGTACGAGCACTGAAACGGGCAGCATTACTCAGGCGTGACAATCTCCAGTAGTCACTGGCACGGATCCTACCCCCCAACCGCCCCCCTGACTTGCCGCCCCTTCCTGTACCCTATCCAAGCCGCCCTTAGCTCCACCATCACGCAATGCAGCGCATCACAATTGACCACCAAATCTGTCTCGTCCCCAAGCGGTTCATCCCGCCCGTCCGCCGTGCCCATCGCGCCAAGGATATCGCCCCGCAACCGCCCCAGCCACGGGTGCAGCGCGCTCACGTAGTCGTGCACCGTGACAAAGCCACCTCCCCCACAACCGTCCCACGCCCTGGCGGGCCTGACCGTCAGCTTGGCATTCTTACCGCGCGGCCGGTCCTGCCCGCAGCAGCGAAGCGGTTGCGGCTCATCATCCTCCTCCCCATCATCCCCCTTCCTCCTCCTCCCCACCACCACCACCACCACCCGCGCGGAAAAGCCTCCCCCACTTCACACCAGGGAACGCGCCGCCATCCGCCGCACCCACCTCCGAGTGCCCCTCATGCGCATTCAGCCAATTCTCCTCCCCGCCCTCCAGCTCCGACACGCGCACGGTGATGGCCTACGAGGACACCCTGGGCTCTGAGATGGGCCGCGCGCCGACGGCGTGGTGTGTCCCGGCCGCGGGGTCGTAGTAGGCCGTCTGCGTGTCGGGGTCTCTGGGGTCGGAGAGTGCCTCGATGGTGTTTTGTGTGGTGGTGCCCTGCTGCTGTGGGACGGGTATGAAGAGGAGGTGGGTGCTGTTGGGGGGGTGGTGACTGGGGTTTGGGAGGCGAAGAGGGCTTCGTAGGTTGGGTGATTAGGGGTTTTTTGGTGTGGACATGTCGTGGGGTTTGATGGTGTTTGGGGTGTTGGTGGGGTCTGGGATGTTTGGGTTGAGGGAGATACGGTTTCGCTTCGATGGGGGTGGGCTGAGAGCACGGGGCAAGGAACTTGAAGGGAGTTGTAAAGTTGGGGGCGGCCTACACATGCCCCCGCTAAAAATACTGGTCAGGGGTGATTATTGATATTCCGGAAGGCCAAACGCCGACACAGGAGCTCTACATGCATGTGAAATGTCTCCATTCGCACCGAAGAGATCTCGAAGAATATGCTGGTAGTTCTGACGGAAAACGCCCCAGCCCCAAGAAATTCAGGGAAGGGGAAGGGGAATGGCCGGCAATAGCTAGTTAAGTGACTTATCTATCTACTTACCCAATCTCGCCCAGCATCCACATATTGTGCCTGTGATAGGAAGTGGCCTTCTGCTTGCAACTACAATTATTATTCATACTCCGCTATGCCCTAGGGCGTGCCGGACCCTCAGCTATTGCAACTACAATTACATCGGTGACCATTACATCACATGTCCTTCCCTCGCTCGACAAATAAAATCCCCTAGTCATCTACCGCTTCCTTGCAATCATGGCAGGCGCATCCACGCCCCCTCCCACAGTCAGAACGCCCGCCTTGCACAGAATCTCGACCGTCTTGACGATGACGTCCGGGTCGACGCCCTGGGTCCGCTCCGGGAACCTGACCGTCTTCAGCCACTCCCTAGCGTCCTCCTCCGAGTAATCCAACTCGGTGCTGATATACTTGACCGCTTCCTCCTGGTTCGCGTTAAAATACGCAATCCCCTGGTCCAGCTTCTCCAGCAAACCATCCACCCGCCTAACCCCATCCTCCCGCCCATCCAACGCCGTTGAGGCCACAATCTTCCAGCTGCTCCACGGGGTATAAATCTCCCCCACCCTCCGAATCTCCCCACTGTCAAAATACCGCTTCGACGTAAAATGCTCCCACATAAAGAAGTCGGCGTCCCCCTTATTCACGGCCTCCCGCAACCGCGCGAAGGTGTCCAGCACCACCGTGTCCCCGTACGGCGACGCCTGCTCCTCCTTCAAGCCCACGCCGGCCGTCGGCACCAGCCACTCGCGCTGGTCGGCCAGCACAAACCCCATCACGTAGCTCCCCGACCCGATCCGCGATACCCCGATCTTGCCGCCCTGCAGCGAGTCAACGCCCATGATTTCGGGCCGGTTGGCGCCCGTCGAGATCGCCCAGCCTGGGGAGAGCGGGGGGTGTCAGTCAAACCATCTCCAAAAAAAAAAAGAAAAAAAGAAAGCACGGCAAGCCACAACACCATCCCATCCAGGTGAGCATATCAATATCCCCAAGGGTTCACTCACAAAGCGGCGTCTCCACGTACGTCCCCACCAGGCGAAACCCACCATCGACCTCAGCACCCTTCTTCCCCTCCTCCTTCCCCTGCTCCTGCGCCTTCCCTAGCCCCGCCACCCAGCCCTCCGTCAGACCGATGCCGACATCGATCTCGCCCGCGCGCAGCGCCGTCACCATGTGGCCTGTGCCGGAGGGGAAGGGGATCAGGGTGGCGTCGAGGCCGAAGTGTTTCTGGGCGAAGTGGAGGGGGGTCGAGAAGTGCTCGGGCACGAAGCCCACGCGGAGGGGGACGGTGGAGGTCATGTTGATTTTGAGTTGATGGTATGGGTGTGGGTGTGATAAGGATGTTGGAGTGTGGTGGTGAGTCGATGGATGGATGTTCGTTTATTGGTGCGTTTATGGATGTGTGTGTGTCAGGGATTGGGGGTGCCGCTGTCGGTGTTTGCTACGATGAAAAGTCCTGTGGCTAGATCCGGACTCGAAGTGGATATTTCTGTCAAAAAAAAAACAGCATCGCAATGGGGGTTCATTTTTCATTTTATTTATTTGATTATTAAATATTCTTTTCACCATGGACATGGAACTGTTGGGTGAAGAAAATGACGCAATGCGGGGCACAGTAACGGCACCTGGAACAGGTCGGGAAACCCTGGGCCCACTGTACTTTATCTGAACTGCTTGTCTTGCCCTTGCATCAATGTATCTGGGCGGGAGAGGCGCGGGTTTGAGATTCAGCCATGAAACAAGAAGGGGCATCGGGGCTTATCAGAAACAAACATTGGTTGATGATATGAGACACATCATGGGTTTTGGTTGTGACTGTCTGAGAGCACACCTACCTAATAAATAAGTGAAACGGAAAGAGAAGAACAAGAAAAATGGGGAGAAAAAGTAAAAGGCAATGGAATCGAAATGAGCGGCGAAAAAGAAACTAAGACGGAATGTAATTGAAGTGACTTGAAGGAAGCACTAGAAGACAGGACGATGAGACAAGGGTGGGCAACATTCCTGAGAAGAGTCCGATAAGCAGATTGGAAACACGAAAAGAAAGTAAAAGGAAATGAGAAATCGAAATATAAGAGAAAAGAGAGAAGCTGGAAGGGGATACAAAATTGAAAGGGAAGAAACATGATGTAATTAAGAGATTGACCCTTAACCCTCTAGAAACCATGGCAATCAATATCTCTTTTAAGAAAAGGCTGTGTTCATCTCATGACCAAGACTCAATGCGAAGAGGACGATGATTTGCTAATGATTGAATATGCCGTGAGCAGCTGGATTCGCTGATGACGACTCAAATGGTTGGATTCATGTTGCTGATAGTGATCTTCACATCCTCACACCCACCCGAAAGAATAAGGGCGTTGCTAAGCTCACTCATCCTCACAAAATGCTGATCTGCTCACGTTGCCGAGCAATTGGTGTCTTGTGTTTCCCATTGCCATCCAGGCCCAGGATTGCAACACCAATGGTAGCACGCAGTAAGCGGGAATATGAATCATGCCGTGAGCGAGCCAAACTCAGTCCGCAAGTCTCTTCTCACAAGGGTGACCCAAACCTCCATTCCACACCGAACTAGTCTGAGTCAGGTTGAGAATAATCAACTTCAAACTGCCCAACCAAACGGGGTTAGAGACAAGTTCAAGCGACCTCGGCTATTTCCCCAGTCTCTACACCTTTCCTTCTCCAATTCGTCCGCTTTCGGCCTCGTATCCTCCCTTTCAAGCATACGACGCGGGTTCGACACTCATATGCCCTTGGCCAGGAAGGGTACCAGCACCTCGAATGCGAACCCGGGGAAGGGCGTCACCACCCTCCCCTTTGTCCTGCAAGGGACAGGGGAGCTGGATTCTTCCGTCGACGTTGGCAAGTCGTCTCACGAATAAGAGTCTTCAAATTGTCTTGGTTGGCGGAGATGAATGCAACTCAGCTAAAAATAGGATAAATGACAGCATGGCCTGGTCTGTGGCGTTGCCGAAAATGTTGACGGGGAGAAACTCCGGCTTGGCTTGGGTAAGTCTGGGAGCAGATCACTCTCACCCTGTAGTAATATCGGAGCGTTCGAGCAAATGGGAGTTGGGAAGTAGCCTTACGTTCTCATTTCAGCCGAGAGAAACACGAGAAACGGGATGGCTGCCATGCGACCAGACTTGCGGTTTGTTACATAGTGCCACCAGGTGGCTGGCTCCCGAGCCCCTGGACTAGAATTTGAAGATATCTATAAATGATTCAAAGACCCTCCTGCCCAGTGAGCTTGAGACATCACCATCCGCCATCAAACCCACCTTGCAACTCGCCTAAGATCCTCAGCTCGACTCCAAACAACATACTCCCGCCCCTAACACTCAACCCAACCATCGCCATGCGCGTCCTCTCACTCGCCGTCCTCTCCCTCCTCGGCGTCGCCAGCGCGGCCGTCGCCGAGCGCCCCTGCGGCTTCAAGATCGCGCCCTGTCCCGCGGGCCAGGTGTGCGAAAAGGTGGACCCGAGCTGCGACCGGGGCGAGAACTGCGCGGGCATCTGCGTCAAGCCGGCCTTCTGCGGCGGCATCGCCGGCATCGCCTGCGAGGACCCCGCCCAGGTCTGCGTCGACGACCCGTCCGACACCTGCGACCCGGCCAAGGGCGGCGCCGACTGCGGCGGCATCTGCATCACCCCCGAGTTCTGCGGCGGCTTCGCCGGCGTCGCCTGCGGGGACGGCAAGAAGTGCACCGATGACCCGAGGGACGACTGCGATCCCAAGAAGGGTGGCGCGGACTGCGGCGGTATCTGCGTCTAAAAAGGGGTGGTGGATCGATCACAGCACGGCTTCCATGGCGACATAAAACCAAAAGAAGGGTTGGGTTTTGGGGACATCTGCACGGCAATGGGATAGGTTCGGGGCAAAATGGTGGACTGGAGAGTTGTTTATGTAAGGTACATACCTAGGGGGGCTCCATGCTTTTGGAGACTACGAAAATTGCAAACCGATCTATCTCTGTCAAGGGCTGCCGCTAGATTTGTTTCTGGCATGGGAGAATTATCGGGTTCGAACCCGGTACTAGGAACTAACTCTGGCAATCCACAATCAGGGTGCAATTCCGGCCATCACCACAACCGTATCTCCGAGTATGGATAGTCAGTATGAACTTGAAGTCCATTGCTAAGGGACCAGGGCATCATAACATTCCCCCAACTTGTGAAGTTTACTTATCTCAGGGGAGCACTAGTCAGGTAGGTAGTCGTGAAGCATTCCTCATTTGATAATTTTGGGGCCCATGAGAGTCTCTCGATACCAGCAATGAGAAATGAACCCATCCGACGGATGAACTAAATAGCAACCGGATGTTTTCGTTAATCTACAATGGGCGACAAGTTAGATCCCTGTTTACCTTATCTTAACACCTACTACTAGGGACATAGGTGCGTATGGATGTCAAGCAAAGAGCACATCTCGGGCATGAGACTGAATGTGTTATCGTCCCAGGAGACTAATAACATGTGATACTATCACGAGCAGAGAGATCACCACGAACGTGAGTAAAGTACATTTTAAGAATTAATCATCGGATGACGGAATAGAAAAGAACGTCCTTGAATTTCGGCCCAAAAGTCTCAAAGCTAGCGTTGATCGAAAGCTCTCGCAAAGCCCTATCTAGCCACACCACGTGCATCGACGCGCAATTCGCAGCGCGGGCGCAGTGGGCATGGAAAGAAGGGCGATCCGGGACACGCAGTCACCCTGGAAATCTCTACCGCCAACGCACGGTCAGCGCTGGCCTATGGCGCATCATCGTTTCACATCCCCACGGATGTGGGAGGCGAGCCGGTAAAGAAAGGCATCACCAAGGCCCTCGGGAAGGCCCAGAACAAAAGCTTGCGGATTGTAGCGGGGGCCTTCAAGCAAACTCCCATCCGCAACCTCGAGACGGAGACATGGGTGCCACCGTTGGACCTATATCTCAACAAACGGCTTGCGGACTTTGAGACCAGACTCCAGCGAACCGACCTAGACGACAGTCAAAGCGGCAAGAAGACGGCGGGGAGCGTTGTCCTCACCGCCTGCCGCAAGATACAGTAGAGACTTAGCTCGAGAAGGGGCAACAGGGGCCGACCGCGAACCTTGGGACCTCAAGGGCCTACGGCGGTGGAGAGAGCCGCGGGCACGGTCATGCTCTGGACTGGGGGAATCGTTGATACGAACAGGGCAGTAGAAGAGGCTTGGAAAGCGAGGTGGCTAAAGGAACGGGACGGCAGGGCAATCACCAGGCCGGCGGACGACTTTGACCATCAGCAGGAGACGCTATTCCGGAACGAAACCCTAAGGAGGCACGTCGGTCTCAACAAGGCGAAGAGCTCACTGCTGATTCAAATCCGGACGGGAGCAATAGGCTTACGGGACTTCTTGTTTACACGAGGAGTCCCGGAGGTTCTGACTCCTGCCTGCGAGTGTGGCGAGGGACGAGAGACTGCCGAACACCTGGTAGTGTGGTGTTTGGCCCCACCGTTGACTCGAAGATGGGAGAGAACTGGAATTCGAACACGACGGGACTTTTACTCTGTTCTACACGGCATCAATCCCACGACTGCACGGCTCGCGAGGAGGATCCTCGACTGGCTGATGGACTCGGGGAAGCTGCCGATGTACAGCTTAGCCAGGAGGCTCGAGCTGGAAGCGGCGGCCTGAAGCGCCCCCGTCCGGAGGCAAGGAGGCCTCCTCTCTTTGTATACGCAGACTCACCAGAACGCATCGTTCCTTGATTGTTGGTATGGGTTTTTCACCCGGCCCGGGAAGGCACGGTTTTCCTGTACACTAAATAGCAGAGGGTCCGGCACGCCCAAGGGCATAGCGGAGTATGAATAATAATAATAATAAATCATCATAATATTTTTATACTCGCTCTTTCGCTCCCAAAGACTCATGCCATCCGAGCCATACCCCATAATCATTACTAGAAGCAACACGCGGTCTACCCAAACAAGCCCATCTCTGCTTTACTCAGTATAACGGAAGAAGGTAGCCAGATCGCCCTTCTCGCGCTCCGCAACCCTCTCCTCCTCGGTATACTCGCTGGGGGGCTTGTACTCGCGGTCGCGGCGGGCGTTCTCGCGGCGCAGGTAGATGTGCATGAACACGGACAGCACTAGGGCCATGGTCTGGCAGGCCAGCAGGGTGGCAAAACCGGGCATGTACCGGGGCTTGTCCTTGGAGAGAAACAGGTAGGCCGAGATGGTGCCGCCGAGGTTGCCGAAGCCGACGTGCATGGCGATGCCGACGCCGCGCTTTAGCGAGCCGCCGATGTTGTTGCCGTTCCATGCCACGCCCAGCGGCACATTGGGGTAGATGCCCGTGGCGAGGAAGAAACAGCCTGTGTAGCGCACGCCGCTGGAGGAGCTGGACATGAGCATGATGAGGCCGATGATGCTAGATTTGAAAGTCTGGTCAGTTCGGCCATCTCATAGATAGTACACCATAACCTAAGATAACCAATATCCGGGAATACGTACGCAATAACCATGAACCCAATCATGAAAATTCCACGCTTGCCCAGCTTGTCAGCATACCAGCCGGAACCGACGCAGAACAGACAGGCCACGACGTAAGGGGGCACCGTCAGCAACTGGGACATCTCCCTGCTGCTCGAGGTACCGAGGTCGTTGATGATGGTGGGCAGGAAGAGCGAGTACGAGTACAGGCCGGTGTACACGCCGATGGTGATGAACATGTGCACCCAGATCTTCCAGTCCTTGAGGGCTGCCCAGAAGTACTTGATGTCGAATTCGTCGGCGAGCGAGGACCGGTCGCGCTTCAGCCGCGCCGCCACCTCCACACGCTCCTCCTGAGTGAGGAACTTGGCTGTTGCCGGGTAGTCCTGCATTACCATGTACGCAATCATAGCTAGGGGAGGCAGTCACTTATTAGTGGCCGGAAATATGAAAACTCGAGCAGGGGCGGGCGACAGCATACCGACGCAGAAGGTCAGAAGGCCCTCGAGAATGAAGATCCATTGCCAGCCCGAAAGACCAGCGACACCTCCCATCTTCATGATTCCAAAAGCGAGAAGACCGCCGAAGGCACCGGCGGCAGTGGCGGCTGAGAAGAAAATCGCCATGCGCAAACCGCATTCATGGCGCCGATACCACATGGTGATGCTATGAACCGCGGTTAGTGCACCCTTTGCGACTAGGGGTCAAGCCCTGCAAAAGCAAAACGGGGACTCACTAGTAGGTGATACCAGGGAACAAACCACCCTCCGCAAGACCCAGAGCAGAACGGCAGGCCATTAAACCTGGGTAATCCTTCACAATACCCATAAGCGTAGTGCAAACGGCCCACGCAACCATGATGCTTGGAATCCAAAGCGAGGGGCGGAACCGCTTCATCGCCATGTTGGACGGGATCTCGGCGGCGACATAGAAGGGAAAGAAGATGGCGAGGGCATCGTTGTACTGCAGGCCGGTCTTGTCGAGGCCGAGGTCGTCCTCGAGCGTGTCGAGGCGGGCGTTGCCGATGTTGGTGCGGTCCAGGAAGGAGAGCAGGTACAGCAGGGCCAGGAAGGGGATCAACGTGAGGTCGACTTTGCGGATGAGCCTCCGCGTCGAGCTCTCGTCCCACCCTGCGCTCTCCACGTTCACGTCATCCTCGTGCGAGGCCTTGCGCGTGGTGGTCTTTTCGTTGCTGACGCTGTCGGACTCGGTTGTTGGCACGTCGGGTGCTGCTACTTCGGCTGGGTTACCCATAGCAAGGTGGGTGGCGCGTCCTTGTCAAAGCGGTGCGGGTTCTGGTGTGATCACTGTCCCGGTGCTGTGTGCTGACTTTTGGGGGCGGCGTGGAGTGGTAGACGGGCCAGTTTCTGGGAGGAAGGGGGTCCCGAGTGCTCGGGCAGGCGAGGGCGGATCCCCAACTTATACTAGAAGGAAGCATACATTCTGGGGGAGAAAACGCCAAGTGTGAGACACGGGAAGAAGGCCACGATGCAGCAGGTGTCCAACAGCACGTCCCATCCTCGAGCTGGTAATTACCATGCAGATCCCGGCCCAGCGAAGATGGTCAAGGGTGTATGTCTGGGGCTTGAGTTCCACTACCCCAGAGTCTCGTCCGCTTGTCCTGGCAGTTCCTGGTCGAGTCCGCGCCGAGAAAGCCCCAGTTTACTTGCTAAGTACCTATGTAACGGTACACCGCGTCGTCGCCGGTGGGCCGAAGGATGGGATCAGTGGGGAGTCCAGCTCGAACACGCATGTCTCAGCCATGGCAGGCGCGCGAGGGCCGGATGGGTTAGGCTGTTTGCGTTTCGGGGAACACAGGCGTCTCCTGGTTCCGATGTCTCTTCCCTAGGGGGTGAGATCAGCGAGCTTGCGGCCCAATGTTTACTGCAGCTTTTCGGTGATAAGCTGCCAAGACGGGGGCCTATCTGGTCCATAAACACCACCGTACACTCTGTCAGCTGGTCCCCTTTTGGCAGGCAGTAATAGGTGATGAGCGGTCGAGTATCAGACATCCCAGATGGGCCAGTGGGAACAAAGGGAAACCCTCCGCGTCGTCCATGGTTAGCCAATCCCGAGGCGCATGCCAAGCTACTTGGCGGCTGGGCTCTCTTTTAGCTTCTGTGAGATTGCAAGATTCGACGCGGGTCTGGACCGGGCAACCACTCAGCGGCTGGCGCAAGGCACCGCCAGGGGGCCGGATCTGTGCAACACGTCCGGCTTGGCCAGAAAAGAGCCCCGCCATTGGGCGGCTCGCGAGCCTCTTGTTATCTCGGCGGTGTTCCTCCACGACGCCCCAGCACGCCGAGCACGCCCAGCTTCGCCCAGGAAGCCCAGGACAACACCAAGGAAAGCCAAAATTTCATCCCCGCACGTGGCTGCCTCCAACGGCGCGCCGGATGAAGCCTTCGGGCAGATGGATAAATCCTCAGCCAGCGGCGCGATGTCTGGGCATGGACGGTGGCGTCTTCGGGGAGCTCTGAACAGGAAAGGCTTCGGTACGTCCCTCCAGGAATGCTCCGGCAGCCGCTGTTGCCAACGTTCTAGCGTAGGAAAAGTTGTTCCTGGCGCGGTCCGCGTCAAATCTGCAGCCACATCGTAACCGCAGAAAAGGAAGGGGGGTTCAGGGGGGGCAAACGGACAAAGGGAGGCTAGGACATGGGTCGAAGGACTGGAATGCTTCTGGAATCAGACGATCGAGATCGGGGAGCGCCACAGCGTTGGCTCACCAGGATACAGGGTGGAAAGGAAGACATGGAAAATCAAAATCTCACCCGTACCTGGCGAGTTAGCTACCCAATACTCCATACTAGTAATTAGACTAGGCATGGACAGGCAGCTGAGAAGCACGATGCAGCGGCACATTGTAACCAGCCGTCATAGCCGTGTTTACTGAGGCTCAATATAAATTTGATCTTCAAGTTGTGTGTGTGCAAAGGAGGCAGAAGTTGAAACAGGGTGGTGGAAACATGCAGGAGCTGAGAAGTGTGTGTACAACCTGAGTCAGGGTGCCCTGCAATCGAAGGCCCCTTTCAGTCAACCAATTCTGAATTGACCCGAAAATCAAACTAGACCAATCACGGCAACGTGAGTGGGAATGTCGCATCAGAACGTGCAACATGAGAGAAGAAGAAAACGAGACTCGTTTCCCACTCTCTCTCCGCAGAATGAAGGGACGACACTCATGGTCCAGCCCCGGATGCCAACTTTCGCTCGCGTCATCCTCCCGTTATTCCTCCTTTCCCCCACAAACCTGGGGAAGGGTCCACTCCCTCTTTTGCGAGTGGCCCAGCCCATAATTTCCCCAGAGTGTTGAGAAGCTTGGAAGCTTGGATGAACTGTGGATTCCACCCCTTTTCAAACGTCTTCGACTTCACCTTTCCCAATTCCGCTACTCTCCTCCGCACCAAGCATATCCGTTCCACCGGTGTAAGGAGCCCAGACTAGTCTGCGGAGGAGATGCTCTTTTTCTCATCCTATCAGTCCGCCATGGCGTTCCTCGTTTCTTGATGCGGACCCGAATCTCCAGGGACTTGGCGTCTGTTGGTCCCCCTCATCTCTCCAACTCCCCCTCGCAGCCCTTAATGCCCAGACCGCCGAGCCTCCCCCATCCATGGATCTCATTCTCGACACCGAACCCAACCAGGCAGACCCAGGCCAAACAGGCCCGGATCATCCACCATCCCACCAACCACAACCTACCCGCTTCCCGCCCCCATCCTCTGCCGGCGGCCAAGCCAAAATGCATGAGGCTTGACGCGCAGTCAGCTCGCCCACCACTAGCAAAGCTTGGGATTACGGCGGCGACCCGCCCGCCCGAAAGCCCATCAAGGACAGGATTACTCTGCGTATTCGTACAACAGGTACAACAAGCAAACAGGAACACCTTGCGACTGCCGACCGACACCATCAACCCTAACGTTGAATGAACATGGGGCGGGTTCCGCATCCGACGCGCGCCCAGCGCCAGGAAGGGCAGCACACCCGGCCACCGCCCCCAGAACGCCGGGCGCGATGTCTTGTCCGTTGCGACTCTGTGTCCACGCGATCCCGGACGAGCGCCCCATGGTTGATGGATCCTGTTCTCGTGTTTTGTTGGTAATCACCGCCCTGCGTAAGTTCCTCTCGGCCGGGCGATGTTGAGTTGACGGGGGTTGGGGGTTTGGTTCTTCGTCTGCTGCACCGCCGCGGCCAAGGGCTTGGTGCCCTCGCCGTGGCTGTTTTGAGTTTCCAAGAGGCTTGGTCCTGCAGCCACCTGTCATCTTTTTCACAAAAGCCGCCGTCATGTACGCAGAGTGCCGAATCCTCGAGCTAGCCGCCGTGGCGCGTTTTGTCTCAACTAGCCCACCTTGTCATGTCGATTCCCGACGTCTATGTTGACTTTTGGTGTTGATATTGCAGCCACGGTTGTAGCGTCATCCCAGCTTGTGCTACGACACGACGAAACCTGGATGTCGGATTTCCCCAGGGCAGTGGATAGATGAGGGTTACAGTGAAGAGACCCAACCGAGCCTCACTCTCCATTGCTCTCCTGGTAATTAATCAATCTGCCTCCACGGCCTAGGCGTACCGTCGGTTAAATACGTTGCATTGCGGCCAGAGCCCTCATCTGCACGCCAAGCGCATGCCATCAAAGTGGCTAGATGCTCCGGACCGGGACATAGAAGCGACTCTTCCTTTTGCAGGTTCTGTAGCGCCAATCGGATACCCCAGACGACGTAAATCGCTGGATGTCTACAATCAGATGGTTAAGTCAATTCAGTAATTATCCACGGTGCTCAGCAAGATACCAAAATGGGTTCTAGTCACCTTCCGCAACCTGGGTGTATCGGGACCTATCGAGTGATGAGTGAGCAATGATAGAACCGGCATGGGATAACTATGCTTATAAACGATGATGAAACCGACGTAAACATTCCATCGAGGGCAAAATCCCGACGATACAAGCCTTCACAACTGACGAGCAAGGGAATATTGTCTCTTCTCGGTTCACTGATAAAACAAAGAACGCGGAATGGCTGTTGGACCAAAACTTGGGCCAGGGGCTGCATCTGGGGCTGGAGCTTCGTGGAAGCCTATGTGGTTAGCGGAGATTTGGGAAGCCATGTCTGTCCCTAGGATAAGACTAAGTCTCGACATATTCAAGTTCAGGGCCATGTAATAACGTCGCCTCTCCACGTTGGTATCCATGATGCACCACATCTGTACTTCCTGGAAGTAGGCCATACACTTCAGATAACTTGTGTCGGTGGCAGCACCGTCGCTGCCTCTCAGAGTTCCGAGTGGCCCATTGATTTTGATCGGGTACTTCCACCAGCGCTCTGGAGGCGTTCGGAAACCGTGCCGGTAAAAGTCCAGCTGCTGGTGAAGGGCCAGTCACGATGTTATCTTACGGTAGAGTGCCGATGCTCGTCCCGGAAAAGCTGTGCCAGGGTTTGTTGGCCTCGAACGGACTCAAGCGTCCAGGCCTACGTCCACTTCTCGTGGTTGAACTTACTCGGTAACTAGGTTTCGTCTTGGTTTTCCAAGGGTTGTAGATCTCATCTACGGACATTTGCAGGGCTGCCAGGTAGTGCTTGTTGTTGTCGTCGTTCGTCTTTCCAGCTGGGTTCTTAACGGAAAGTCAATGGCATTTTCCTCATCATGCCTCGGCTGTGGCCCTGTTAGTATCGCAGATCTCAAAACGGAAACCGGCTCCTGTTGGGAGACCTGTCGGAACGATATGCTTATATACCCCACTACCACCGCCTCAACAGTCAGCGCTTGCAGTTTTACATGTCTATTTAGGCTGTGGTTTTTTGTCCTAACCTTTACGCACAAATGGATTGCCGGTAAAAACCAGGCCTTTGAATGTAGATACCGACACGGAGTGCGGAGGTGGCCGCGAATAAATCCTTCAAGAGGTATTAATCGTCGGTGAAAGCATTCATGTAAGCCAAGATCCCCGACACTAGCCACGTGGAGAGGTTTAGAGTGACCAGTGTTATATCCAGTACGGACGTCTAAACCGAAGTGATACTAGTTGCCCCGGGCAAGTTCTGAATGGCTAGGTGTTCCGGGGCGGAAAGCAGCGAGTCTCCAAAATCTCCAAGTCTCCATCGTCTGTCGTCTGGGAGATTATATGCATCGTGGGTCTTGATGCCGATCAAAGGCGTCGTGGGACTCACCCGTGAAACCGTTAATTTGTTTATAAGCGACAGTCAACTCATCTTCTGAGCTTAAGGCATGGCCTATGGCCGTCATTGTGATCTAGAGGCAGAAGGCTATTGAGAACAGATAACGGGATCCGACATATCTACCGCTACTAACTTGAAGTCGATAGAGTCAACGGCGGGGGCACAAATGGTCCAACTCCTTACACTCCTCTACTTCCAGCTTTACCAAATCAACTCATCTTCCACGGCAATTATATCTATAGTTGCTCTTGGGCTCAGTAGCAAAGTGAGAACGAGGGCCCTAGGTATCCACAACTTCCCATCCTTCTGCTCTATCCCAACTCACAACTCCCCTCCCGCTACCCGGCCTATTGGACCTTAATATACACGTACCTCGCTCCCTACAGTAACTTCCCCCGCAAAGAGACGCACTCCTAATTTGGTGAAGCGGGGGGAGCGCAGACTCATAATCTGCCGTAGACCGTAAACGCGCAGTGGTACACCTATAAGGGCGCGGGTTCAAATCCCACCGAAGTAAACCTCGCTCGAGGAGTTTTCATAGCCGACTATCCCTCCGTCAACTAAGGCGGGCGGTTAATGGATGAGCCTTTTGGCTTCTTTCCTTCTTTTTCGTTTGTATACTTCCTTGCTTTCAGATCCGCCTCCTTTCAGCACAAGCAACATTCCATTTGAGTTTGCGTTTCCCGCACACCAGCCCAGTTCATTTCCTGCGTTGGCCTCCGAGTAGTCATTTCGTGCTCTGATGCATGAATTTGTGGGACTGACTGCCCTGTGTCTTGATGCCTGTCATGGAAGGCTGTGTATCCCGCTAGATTGCTTTGAGCGAGCCACTCAGCACTTATTTGTGTCCAGAGAAGTATCAACATTGCGCCAGAATACAACATTTGAATGCTCGTGTTCGCGAGCTCAAGTGTCATTAGCAGAAGTCTACAGTGGTTGGGCCATCGCACCCTTGAGCCATCACACACTCGTCTGCGATGCCTTGTTCTGAAAGAGAAGTTCGAAGAGGTGCTTTGTGTTACCTCTCTCTCGGTATCATACCGTCCATCATACTACCAGGAGATCGATTAGGGGGCCCTTTGATTACCTTAGGCACCCTTGACTAGAAAACGCGGTCCCACCAGTTTAGCCGGCAGCAGGACGTCCCTCGTACGTAACTCTCTTCGCTTCTCCCTACTTGTTTAGTATGCAACAGCACGGCCACCCAAATTTAAGCACGCTGGCATTCCGTGATATCAAGGGCGGACCAAGTAAGGCCCAGATCAGTTTGCCTACAGGACACCTAGCTCAGGACGAGAATAAAACTGGGAATTTCTCGTACCTGGAGCCATCTCATATAATCAAAGAGATTATTTATTTATACCTCGTTATTGGCTCAGGCTTTCTCCCTGCCCTATATGTACTCTCTCCTAGTCTTGCACCATTGACGTTCTAATACGCTCGGGTTTGTTAACGGTCTGCAATAGAACTATCCAAGTTCGGTGGTTAATTCAGCCGGTGCCTGCTTCCTCTAGAGTGCCAACCCCTACTCCTTCCCATCTATAATATCCCGGGAAACCACCCCCAACATCAGACTCTCCCCAAGAACACCCATCCAGCCTCTTCTACGCCACCCCCGCCTGTATCAGCCTATCCAGCTGCTCCAAATCCCCCTTCAACCCCGTACAGAGCACACCCTCAGGGTCGGAAAAGATCTCAGCCAACTTGAGCGACGCCCGCCCATACTTCCTCGCCGTCTCGGGATCACCGGCCTCGTAATAAATGCGTATAAACGCCTGATAGTACTCCCCGACCTTCGCCAGCAGCCCCTCAACCTGTGCCAGATCAACCAGCTCCTGCGTCAATTTCACCAGCGTGTTGTAGCTGACCGATCCGTGCTGCATGGTGTGAAAGACTTCGGCGAGGCGTTCCCGCCGCTCGTCTGACGCTGTTCGGGCCTCGGGGGATGCTGAGCATAGGTTGCAGGTGCAGTTGAAGCCCCAGTTTCTGAGGGCTCGGGTTCGGTGGGCGGTTGGCATACCTAAGGGGATGTCTGTTGTTTTGTTAGCGACTCGACTGGTAAAAATGGGTGACGTGGTATGTATGAGCCCGTACAGCTCACGGTGATTTCCTCGCCGGGCTCAATATCTCTTGTTGCTATGGCCGACATGGCGAGGTCCTTCTTGGTGAATTTGCTGTATGCACTAAACCGGTCAGCATCCAGCTTCGGTCCCGTGTACTTCATGGTAATATTACTTTGCATCGCAGGCATGGTTCAACTTCTGTTATGACGATGACTCGGTCAGCACGAAAAAACCCTCGCCATCGGGGGGTCACCAGTCCGCATACCGCAATCTCCGGATAGACGCCCTTCATATCTCGACCGTCAACAATGATCCCAAAAGCGTTGGTTTTGATGACATCCTCGACAGCATGAACGTGCTCCTCCTCGCTCCTGGCCATGGTGAGGAAGCGCTCCTTGTCCGGCAGCTGGTCGAGTGCTTTCTGAAACAACCGAGGCCCGTCAGGAAGCCCGCCCACTGACTTTTTTCCAAGAGAAAGAAACTCGTTATCGGCAATCATAGCCGGGTAGCTTCTCAGGATGGTGTCGAAACGTTTAATGCGTTTGGTGGCGATGACCCCCAACCCTTTTCCTGGGATTGGGGTCACCGTATACGGTAGGTCAACAGCTTCGGTGGCCAAACGACCACGCCGCGCAAGATGATGACGGGAGTGCCATGCCGGCAGGGGGTCTTGAACGGTGTCTGCAACGCCGGCGGCCGTTTCCGGGTCTGTGATGATGGTGATACCGCTGCCGTCGTTGAAAGCGGAGGAGGAGTAGACGCAGAACTTTCCGGTGGACTCGGCGGTGTTGGGAATGATGCAGGACGGCGGATGGGTCCAAGGCAGTCCTCTACTCGACTTCAGAAGCGTGGGGGTGCCGTCGTCTACGGGTAGGATGCAGTTCCCGGCTGGTTGTAATGGCGGGATGGTGGGATTCCAGGGGCATTGTGTCTGGAGGGCGGCTGTCAAGAGAGGAGACAAGACGAGAAAAGAATAGAATGTTTGGAGTTGAGGCACTGTCCGCAAAGTATGAGGAAGAGGTTCGGGATAGCCACATCGTGATGCACTTACTAGCCATACTTGAACGCCATTGGGTAATCAATACCCAAGAGCCGAGTTGGCTAAGAAGTATGGTGTTATGAGCTTCAAGGAATACAATTTCGTCAAGCGTTGCACCTAAATAAACGCCAAAGAGCACTGAGACTTTAAAATCTGATTCATCAGCTACTCTACATATAACACTCGATTGCCAAGTGATCTACAAGGCCGTGGCCCCAAACCTGAGCTCAAGCCCATGGATTCTGCACCAAAAACATTACACCAAGGTCGTCAGTGCATCAGACATATAGGAAAAGCTTGGCCGCCAACAGAAAAGCAGCAAAGGCTTATAGCCGGCAGTGGGAAAACACGCCGGGCTTATGTCATTCACCAGCTCCGCTCCCAGTTTGTTGCTGATCGTCGAGAGAGACGGGACTCCTTGCGGGTTCGATTTCGCATGACGGGACAGATCCGTGAAAAAAGGCTCACATGCATATAACTATAGTGTACAAGCCCTTGGCTACTCGTCTTGCACAATAGGTGTGCTCACCCAAGCCACTTACAACATCACTCCCCGATCATACCGCGGTGACCAGTGTATATCTCTCATTATCTGGCTACTGTTAATAAAAGGTACGCCACAATGGAGAGATGGGAGTAGTGAGATGTAGTTATTCGTAGACAAGTGGGATAAATGCATAGCCGGAACGGAACGAACTGCACCAAACCTCAGACGGTGCAGTAGCGACCCCGCGCGACTCGGACAGCTTAATGGCGTTGTCCACCAGACTCCTTCAATATTTCGGTCATCAGCATAAACATGACGGGACTTATGGAAGTCCAGAATCGACCACGCTTCTTCTCAATAATCCTCCCGACAGTCAATTCGCACATCGCACCCGTCCTCGTCAGAAGTGGAGATAGCTGGTGCAGTCGCCCTGATGTTGCAAGGTCGTATTGACTCGATCATGAGGAACTTCGGGAACTTTGGAAGGGCGAATCATGGGGCCCGGACACGCTGTCTTTTTGGCGGAGGAATTTTGCGAACTTTGGGCTAGAAGTGGGGAAATTGTAAGCGATGCGGAAACCCCGAGATCCGAACAAGCTCCTTCTCGGCTGGCAGGGCACCTTGCCCAATGCGGCAGTGATCCAACCCAATTAAAGACTAGTGCGGATGACAGGATGCCATGGAGCATGCCTCCAGCGTGCGTTCCAGGGTCGTGAACAAGGAGGGTCTCGAGTGGTGCAGCCTGGCAAACTCAAAATTCATCGTCATTCGCCACAGGGTGCGAGTGCGAGCGGGACTTTTCCTCTGATGAACATACTGTGGACACTGAGAATCGATGGAAATATGGAAATAACATGTACATTGTGGGTGTACAGTGGGTCATCGTTTCGGGTGAGAGTCGCAGTCACAACGGTCTGGAAACAAAAAGGTACTTCGTTCCACTCGATCCTCGGAGTCGATCCCAGAACCGGATATGTGTGACTTGAATGAAGAAGGCAGTGACGCCCTCGACCACATTCCAACAACCTCTTTATTGGCTTCCATCTATCCACCGTGTGAAACTTGCAATCCCCGAGCCGCAGCATTCTGAATTCATCCTCTACATCAGGCACGACCTCACGAAATTAGTAATACTAGGAGGGGCGGAGCACTGAGCCAGTTTGGATGTCAGCTTCCTAAATCCGTATCTGGGCGCAGAAATCCCGGGGTAGTTAAGAGCGAGGGACTTATTAACTTGAGGCTACCCTACCGAGCTAAATAAATCTCACCTCCCCTCCCCTTCCAACACTCGTCCGGTTCAACACCCCAAGTCAACAGACAGGACGACGCCATGATCGAGACCCTTCTTCGGCCGGCAGTGCTCGTTCCGGCCGTGGCCTTGGTCGCCTTCGTCATACACCAGCTCTTCTTTGCCGGGCCGAAGCTTCCCAAGCTCCCCATATTAGGCGCAAAGGAAGGCGACTGGTTTCCCTTCTACCAAGCAACATGGAGGAACACCATCAACTTCAAGGCCGCGGTACAAGAGGCGGATCAGAAGTACAGAGATCAGGCCGTGCTGATGCCCGTGGCCATGGCCCAGAACATGGTGTTGCTCCCCCGCTCTGAGACACAGTTCGTCACCGACCAGCCCGACTCGAAGCTCGATATGCACACCCAGGCCATCGACGCCCTCCAGACAGATTACACGACGACCGACCCATCCCTCGTGCGCAACCCGGTACACCACAAGCTCATCACCACCACCCTGACCAACCAGATCGGCAACCTCGTCCCGGATGTCGCCGAGGAGACGGCTTGGGCGTTCGACAAACACTGGGGCAACCCTGACGAGTATCAGGAGGTCTGCGTCTACGACACTATGCGCAAAATCGTCGGCTGTGTCACGAACCGCGTCTTTGTGGGCAAGCCAAAGTGCCGAGACCCGGCGATGCTCGTCGAGGAGCATGGGATACGCCCAGGACGTGCCCCTGACCTCGACAGTGTTGCGCATGATATGGAAGCCCCTGCGGCCCCTCGTGGCGTTCTTCCTCTGCCTGCCTATCCGTTTCCGCACCGGGCGCTTCAGGAACATCCTCGTACCTCGAAATAAAGAAACGCCTAGCCGACTACGACGCTCGCCAGCGCGATCCCGAGGACAAGTCGCACGGCCCCGAGCCCAACGACTTCCTCCAATGGACCATCAAGCAGGCCAAGGACATGGGCGACCCCTACCTGTGGAAGCCAACCACCCTCGCCGACCGGATCCTCCTCCCTCAACTTCGCCGCCATCCACACCTCCTCACTTCACCATCACCAGCGCCATTCCTCGAACTTCAGCCGCCTCCAAGCAAGAATACATCGACGAGCTCCGCGCCGAAATCGAGGGCGTCCTCGCCGAGCACAACAACCAATGGGACAAGCGGGCCCTGGCCAAGATGCAAAAGCTCGACAGCGTCATGCGCGAGTCCGCCCGCCTCAACTCGTTCGTCACCATCGGCCTCAGCCGCGCCGTCGTGGCCCCGGAGGGCATCGTCACGCCCTCGGGCGTGCGCATCCCGCGCGGCGTCACCGTCAACGTCCCCAGCTACCCGGTCTTCCAGGACAGCGCCATCTACCCGGACGCCCGCGAGTTCAAGCCCTTCCGCTTTGCCGAGCAGCGCTCCGACGAGTCGGTCGAGTATGTCAAGCGCGCCGCCAAGGCGTTCGCCACGACGAGCACGGATTACCTCGCTTTTGGGCATGGGCGGAATGCGTGCCCGGGAAGGTTTTTTGCGGCGAATGAGCTGAAGTTGATGCTGGCGCATCTGGTGCTGAGTTATGATATTGATATTGGCGGGGAGCGGCCCCGTAATTCATGGTTTGGCTTGAATAGGGTGCCGCCTCTTCAGGCTACGATTCGCATCAAGAAGAGGGTGATGAAGTCATAGGGACATGGGTTGATGCACGGGGCTGGGTGTAGTTGAAAGAGATACTGTATGTGTCATGAGCTGGCCAGGTCTTTGGATGTGGCGGGAGAGTGGACGGCATTTGCATGGGCTTTTACGCGTTTGATTCAGGATCATAGATGGTTGGTTGGTTGGTTGTATGAAGTTGATACCACTACGAAGCGTAGTTCTTTTCCCTGTTACGAAGAATGATATCATCCCACTCAGTTGTATTAATGACCACTGGCTTCGTTTCCAAACCATTACTACTTTAGAGGAGTGAATTAGTGATATTAACCGCGTTACTTTGAACTGTAGGGCCAAACTAATCACATATCATACCGATCAAAACCATACTCAGCCCAGACAGCCTTGAGATTGGCCCGAGTTAATATTCGGCCCGTCCTGATTCCCCCCGCATGTAGGTATGTACTCGTGCCGTAACTAAAAAGCACTAGTCTCCCCTCAGCTACGGGACTCGGACTTGATCGGTCTGCCGGTAATCAATAACCCAAGATCTGCGTGTCAGACTGAGCAGCTTTCGAGTCTAGCCAATTGTTTCAACAGAATCTCTGCAATATTTCAAAACATGCATGCAACGCATATGCGCGAGCACTATCTCGGTCGACATCAAGTCCAAGATCGGACGGTGATGTCTACGACCCAAGGTACGCCCAATGAATATTGTAACCTTCTAGCTTCTGTGGTCCAATTAATGCCCATGACAACCAACACGGGAAGTGTGTAAGTCCCGTCCCAAGCTGTCAAACACATGCATGATGATGCATCTCCGAGCCAGATTACCACATGTACCTATCATTCAGCGCTTATAAGTAACAGCGTTCAACTTAAGACATCCCGAATTCCAATTACTGCATCGTAACCTGAACTCTTTCAGATCCAGAAAACTCCCGGGAAGAGCCACAATGAAGCAAACCTTCCTCACCTTGTTCTACTGCCTAGTGGCGCTTTTGGGCGTGGGATCGGCGGCTGGCGATAGAAAGCCGCATGCACCAAAAGCGCCTGGCCTTACTTACCTCTACACAGTCAACATCACAGCTGGTGAAATCTATCCCGTCGGGCCGGGGCCGCGTGGCATTCGTCTTGTGGTCCCCATTGCAAGCGGCAACTTTGCCGGACCCAGGCTCAAAGGTGGGTTCATGCCCGTCACGTATGCTCCCAAGAGACTGAATACCTCCCTGACCCCCCCCGTACCTCTAGGAACTGTAATGCCCATGGGCGGCGACTGGGCTCTGACCGACGGCAGAAACGCCAACGGGTCTCTCACCGTCGATGTCCGGCAGACATTCAAGACGGACGACGGCGCTTTCATCCAGGTATTTGAGACAGGCCAGCTCCAGCCCGACGGCCGTGCCTTTGTCCGCCTTGGTTTTGAAACTGGAAGTACCCAATACGAGTGGCTCAACACGGTCGTGGCGCTGGGGATTATCCGCTCGGTCGGGACGGACGGGATTACCATTGATACCTGGCAGGTCAGTGTGTTACAGTCTCTCGAGGACAGCATCTCCTGTTGGAACTGAACTTTAACGATATCTGATAGATGGTGGCACCGTGATGGGCCAATTCGACTTCTTTTTCTTTGTCATTCGTCTGATAAAAGCCGGCAATGCTGCCGGCTCGGGCCGAGGTCAACACATCCAGGAACCGTTCAACTGATCACAATCGGCTGCTGTCGGAATGTCTTCTTGCCTCACATTGGCTGGTGCGGCCAAGTCTCGATGGGGCCAATTGAGGGACTCTCCGGCTTGCGCCGGTCGTGACACCACTGGACCATGGACGCTGCTCGGCCAAGACGCGATTCCGAAGGGCCTGGAAGCCGCCAGGCAGTTGGGCGTGCATGCCGTTTTGATGTTTTGCTCGCCGAAGCTAGTCGATGGATTGTCAACGCAATCGGGGCACAACACGATGTCAAACACCTTCTCAGACAGCTCGTAAGGCCAAAACGTAATTGAGCAAAAGCAAAACTGTCAAATCGCCAGCAGTGGAGATTGCGCTGACTGTGACGTAAATTTTCTGGATGTTTAAGCGCCCAAACACGCCAAAGCAGGCAATCTCACCCCACTCTGTGCCCCGCGACGCCGGGAAGCAGCTTTCTGTTGAGGTCCCCTCGCCTCAGCTCGCGTGTCGAACGACCCCGCACCTTCACATCATCCCACATCCCACTTCCATCTTGAGCTGCCCCCTCCACCCAAATCCCCGATCAGAAGCTGCCAGTGCGTCATACAAATCCCTCATCGGCTGCGGCGGATCGTTAGTGCGAGATCTGAATCTCTGTTTTCCCTTCCTTCTTCTGACCTTGTTTGTGTGAAAGCTCTTTAGCTCTGTATTTTCCCTAGCTCAATCGCGTCGACCTGATCCGAATTGCCCCGCCATTGCGACCCAAGAAGCAGAGCATCCTAACTTACCATCAAAACAACACCTACAACCACCAAAATGGGTATTCTTGAGGTATGCAACAAGCAGATCCTCGGTTCGGGCCGCTTCTCTTCCCTACCTGCATCAGATGGCAGTTTTCTGACCGCGACAACCGTGCACAGGATCTCAAACTGCCCGTCGGCGTCATCTATGGTATGAACCCCTCTCTCCGAGATCGGAGAATCTGAAATTGACCCCTGATCCGTGGCACAGGCGATGATGTTCTGAAGCTTTTCACCTACGCCCGTGAGAAGGGATTCGCTATCCCCGCCGTCAACGTCACCTCCTCCAGCACTGTCGTTGCCACTCTCGAGGCCGCTCGTGATGCCAAGGCCCCGATCATGTACGAGACAACACCAATCCCCGGCCATTCCCGCGGCCGTGTCTGGGAGAAAATAATATTGACAGCCAGTGGTTAGCCTGCAGACAAGCCAGGGTGGTGCCGCCTACTTCGCCGGCAAGGGCGTCAAGAACAGCGCTGAGAAGCAGGAGGCGTCTGTCGGTGGTGCCATTGCCGCCGCCCACTACATCCGCGCCGTCGCCCCGCTCTACGGCATCCCCGTCGTCCGTAAGTGCGCCAGCCATTTTCTCTATTTTGCTATTACTGACTTTCCGTGACCAGTCCACACCGATCACTGCGCCAAGAAGCTCCTCCCCTGGCTCGATGGCATGCTCGATGAGGATGAGAAGTTCTTCAAGCAGAACGGCGTCCCCCTCTTTTCCTCACACATGATCGATCTGGTATGTTCTTCTCCCTAGCTATCCCGGTTACCCCATGAGTCCCGTGCTAATAAGATTCCAGTCCGGTATGTCACCCTAGAAGCTCGATTGTATCGACATACCCACGCCGGAGGCTGCCCCTGTGGCCCCCGCACGGTTACTTGCTCGAACAACGCTTACACACCGTAACAGAGGAGCCCGTCAATGAAAACATCGACACATGTGTCTCGTACCTGAAGCGCATGGCTCCCATGAAGCAGTGGTTGGAGATGGAGATCGGTATCACCGTATGACCAGCCCAATTCCTTCGCCTTGTGTTGGTACAATGGGCTAACAACACTACAGGGTGGTGAGGAAGATGGTGTTGACAACACCGGCGTAAGTTGACGGTAATGGGCTCTGTGATGGCCCCTGCTAACATCCCCCGTTAGGTTGACAACGCTTCTCTCTACACCCAGTGAGTACCGACCCCTACAAATTCGGAGAACGCAGGCACTAACCCGTCAATAGGCCCGAGGACATCTGGCAGATGTGTGTCCACCCCCCAGCGTGATTACCCGACGTTGTACTAACCCCCCGCAGCGAGCAAGCTTTCCGCCCGCTCTCCAAGTACTTCTCGATCGCTGCCGGCTTCGGGTAATAAATTCCGCTACCCCACTTCCAATCCCCAATTGCTAACGGTTTTTGATAGCAATGTCCACGGCGTTTATGCCCCTGGCAACGTCCGCCTGCACCCTGAACTGCTCGGCAAGCACCAGGCCTACGTCTCCGAGAAGCTCGGTGGCAACGACAAGAAGCCTGGTAAGGCTATGCTTACCCGCACGATACCAAGGGCGTCTCGCTAATCGGTCTAGTCTTCTTCGTGTTCCACGGCGGTTCTGGCTCGAGCAAGCAGGAGTACCTCGATGCCATTGGCGTAAGCCAGACGCACCCCGCACCGCAATGCAAATAGCTAACAATTCAAAGCACGGCGTCATCAAGGTCAACGTCGACACTGACTTGCAGTGGGCGTACCTGACCGGTATCCGGTGAGTGTTTACGAGCTCCATATTTAATGTCAACATGCTAATATGGCCCAGTGACTACGTCACCAAGAACATCGACTACCTCAAGACCCAGGTCGGCAACCCCGAGGGCCCCAACAAGCCCAACAAGAAGAAGTACGACCCGAGAGTATGTGCCCCCGTATCAGCTCCTCTTAGACATGCAAATTCTAACTCTTACAGGTCTGGGTACGTGAGGGTGAGAAGACCATGTCTACCCGTGTGGCGGAGGCCCTCAACGACTTCAACGCCGCTGGCTCGTTGTAAAATGGGGGAACCGGATGTTGGGATATGGTCACTCACAATGCCGATAATGTCGGGCTTTACTGGAACCCCAGGCCCAGGATAGCAGCATGAAGCTCCCGAAATCAATGTTAGGGGAGGAAACTGATAATGGAGTGGCGTTTAAGTTTGGGGTGAGATAGTTTAAGGCGAGCAAAATTGCAAAATTCCCTCTCAGCCATTCGCCTGTTTTCAATCTTGCAAGGTGGGATCACTGAAATAATAGGAGTACTCACAATGATGGGAGGATTCTGCTTCCGGACCTCCAACCCAGAGGCATGACGGCCTGCCACTCAAATTTGTATGCTCTCGAAGATCAGCCGACTAGTTACCAAGGTCCATGTCTATAACAAGGTACAAGAAATCTATATTTCTGTCGCTAATAAATCGATACTTTCAGAACAGATTCATCGTTTCCCCCCCTCGACGGTTCCCCCCTTTTTCTCATCCCCCGCCACCGCCTCCTTCCACGCAGCCGCAATCGCCGCCCAGTACTGCTCAGGATGAGCGCGCATATGACCAACATGAGGCGTGCCCTCAAACAGCGCCGCCGTCACGCTCCGCCCCTTCTGGCGCGCATCCGCCGCGTGCACCTCAATATCATCCCACCGAATGATCTCGTCTTCCTTGGAATACAGATACAACCGCTTCGCGCGCTCGTCCGACAACCTTGCATCATTGACCGCCCGCGTGCTGTACTCGCCCGCGCTCGTCGCCCCGATCGCCCACCCGGCCCCGTACAGCACCGCCAGGAACACCGCCGCCAGCGCCTGCGTCACCCCCCGCGGCCACGGGAACCACCCCGCCGCGCCCACCGTCATCGCTTTGGACCACGCCCCCACGTTGCGCAAGAAATCCGTGCTGCCGGGCGTCGAGTCGCACACCATTAGTCGGTGCGGCATCACGCCGCCGGCGGTGCGCTGCGTGTAGGCGTTCATCGTCGCCGCGCAGTTGATCCCGCCCGTGTTGGACATGACGTGGAGGAGGACGCGGTTGTCTTCGGTGGGCGGGTTGGTGCGCGCGGGGGGGTTGTTGTTGCCGTTGGTGAGTGTGGCTGCTGCTGATGGGTAGACGGCCTCGAGCACGGGGAGCATGTTCCGGGTGCGGGCGTCGAGGTTTTGGTACAGCGCTTTGAGGATGGGCGAGAAGATGAGCGCGATCTGGGCGTGCGGGAACAGCTGCCGGTAGCCGGCCACGTATTTGGATACGTGCCGTGGTCGGGCGTCGCCCCAGCCGTAGATTATTACCGTGCGGGGGTGCGCTGGGTTGGGGGGGTTAGGGGAAGTGGCGCTGCCTTCTTGGACGTAGACTTGGTCGCTGAGCTTCTTGAAACCGAGCATCACCGATGACTCGGTTTCCGTCACGGCTTTGGACATGGTGGGTGGGCGGGGTGGTTGACTGCTGTTGGTGAAGAGGGGGGAAGGGGTTAGATCCGCTGCTAGTAGTCTGGGAGGCGGATGGTCGAGGGCAGTCTGTCCTGCTATATCGTTCTGTTTCCGAGGTCCAGCGTCGAGATATACCAGTTACCGTGGGGGTCGTCTTGGTCAACCAGCTAAATATTAAGTATTAAGAGGGTTACATGCAGAATTTTGTTGAATAAGCTCAGCCCTGGACCCCTGGCTTCCCGTCGTCCTGGGCGGGTATGAATCCACACCACCAGCCCTGCGGCCAAGGCATTGTGACAATTTCTAGCATGTGCTTGCCGAGACCGAGACTTCGGTAACGGTCCAGCCCGCCCGTCAACGGCCACTATTACCCCTGAATCCTCCTGAGTTCCCAACCAAACTCTAAACGTCAGTACCCAGTTAGTCAGATAGGAGGGCCGCATTTTCAACAACAACAACCAATAGTACGAAGATTCGTTTTCTGACCCACAGCTAGGCCCGAGACTTCCGAGAGAAGCCTCCACCGTCTCACGAAGGCTCCTATCGAAGCCCTCACCATGTCATCGGGCAATTGGTCTAGGGGTATGATTTTCGCTTCGCACCATGTGCTCTCTGTGAAAGGTCACCGGTTCAAATCCGGTATTGTCCATTTCTTTCGACATGTTTTTTGATTCTTTTTTTTTTTTTTTGGGCGAGTTGTGCCTTTCCAGGCGTTTGTTGGGGAGACAAAACGGATGCCCATCCCTGTCTCTCGACTTTCAAACAGCCGAGGTCCAATGCTTAGCTCCGACGGAGAGGCCGAGTTCATTGGGTCTTAGGGTTGTACGGATGACAAGCACTCCATTAACCAACCCGGAACCGATAACGACGAGATCTCGACGGTAGCATAACCAGTTTCAAGGGGACTTACATTGAAATTAGGTACCTTCGTCATGGCCAAAGCTACCACAGACAGCCTCATCCCCTTCTCAAAGGCGACGGAAGTTGAGCGGGTCGCTTCGCACACATACAGAGTTAATCTCAGCGACACCTTCTGCATAGGAACTGGTAAGCTTACTCGCTTCGCTGTCCTTCACTGTATGGCCCGGATAAGAGACCTGACAAGAACATCAGTACCTAACGGGGGTTATGTGGCATCGTGCATCCTCGAGGCGGCAGGTCTCCATCTCGCCGAAAAAGGACAAAGGGATGTATTGAACGCCCACTTCCAGTTCTTGAATCGCACCGAAATAGGGCCAGCGGTGATCATCATCGAGGACGTCAAACTGGGCCGACAGCTCTCAACACTCCATGTCACCCTCTACCAACATGCCCTCTTGCCCACAGCGCCGTGGATTACACAGGGGCCGACACGCAAGGAGATTGCCGGGTACTTGACCATGACGGACCTCAAGAAGGAGAGAGGCATCTCGCTTTCCACGGGGTTCACTCTGCAGAACTCCGCTCCGGCACCCCCGCGGCCGGACTTTGCCGCTCTGAAGGAAGACCGTGATGCAAATTGGACCCGGTACAAGTTCCCCGGTGGCAGCCCGCTGAGCTACGCGCGGTGCCTGCAGAATTGCATCTACTACGACCCCCGGGGCGGGCGGACGACGAATTCCGTCCTCAACAAGTGGGTTCGGCTTGCATCCGGCGAAAACTTCACGGCTGCTTCATTGGGGTATGTCTCTGACTGCTGGCCGTACGTGGTCGAGGCTCAGCGGCCGACCAAGAAGGAGGCCGCCGAGCTGCAAAGCCGAGGCGAGATCATCCCTTTTGCCCCCGGCGCTACCTTTTGGTATCCAACCGTGGTGCTCAACCTCGAAATCAAAAAGGCGCTACCTGAGGGGGGGCTGGAGTGGTTGCAGATGCGGGTACAATCAAAGCAAATCAAAGACGGCCGCTTCGACCTTGAGGTGCTGCTGCTCGACGAGCATGGAGATTTAGTTGCGCTGAGCAACCACGTCAATTTGATACTCGGAAGCGAGAGAAACACAGCCGATAGGACCAGAGGTGGCGATGCTGCAAAGAAGTCGTTAAGTCGCATCTAAGCTGCAAGTCTATCTAACTCGGGCTTCGGGTCTTCCTTGACTCGCTGAGTGTCCGTAAGCTTGAATCCATTGGAGAACTCTTCCCAACGAGTTGAGTAGCTGGCTGGCGCCAACGGGCATAGCTGGTCCTGCCTCCAAACCATCTTAGTGGTGCGCGCTTCCAGCGCTCTCTCAAGAAAGAAAAGAACAATTCCATCACATCCACTTCGCATGCAGTTCATTTCCTGCCACTCTTCGTGTCGGTTCTAGATTACCATCTGAGGCGACCCAAGTGAGCCCAAATCGCGCCCGAGGATTGGGCCAAAGTGATGTGTCCGTCAACCCTCGTCATTCCCAGACTCGAGAAGCCCAATGTCTCGATCGATCGTGTCTCTGGCACACGCACGCGCGCGCGCACAGACGAGTTACAGCAGCGAGTACCTGAATCGTCCCTTGCCCCGGATTTGCCGGCCCTCACAGCTGACCGCCACGATGCCCCGAGATCACGGCTGAACTGAAGCGCCCAATGGGATGCCGCCGCGATTTCCGCCCTGTTGCAAAGGTGACTCGACCGTTGTCCGGCTCCACCGAAATGGTGAGGCTCCAGTAGAATTGTCGGTGAGGCCCTCAGGGGCCGCCACGTCACGCCCAGGAGACAACTGCCCCCTGCCAAGTGGCCATGGGTCTGGAGGGGCAAATGGACCCGCCTCGGGCATTGTTGTTAGGCTCCAAACTAATCCGTCGGACGTGGCCATGGTATGATTGGATTTGACGCATATTCTGTAGCGCTTGGTTGGGTCTCGTCACCCCGCCGCCGCGACCCCTGACTCCTGAGCATCCCAGACAATGCGTTGTAACGCGATCTTGCGCATCGTGCCATCGATTTGGGCACGAACAACTCGCGTCGGCCCCTCCAGTCGGCCCCTCCAGTCGGCCCCTCCAGTCAACCCCTCCAGAGGATGACCCCTCACATGGTGGACTCCCAGAAGACAGATAGAACAGACAAAGTTAAATAGAAGACATTTCTCCCAAGATGATGCCCCCGCTTCCATTCCTCATCGCATCAGAACAACAGCAGCCAACAGCAGCATCGCCACTACCACCACCACCACCGCTCAAATACTCGACAGACTTCGAGTTCTTCCAAGACTCAACCCCACCACCGCCAATATGTCTATGCTGCCTGACGCCGCTGAGCTTGTAAGCAAGACCCTTCCCACACCCCGCAGATCAACCGCTCACACATGGCCATCAGAGAAGACGCTGGTCGGACAAGACCACCGCTGTCTTCAGCCTCAGCGACCGCTACGACTCCCGCACTTTTCCGGCCGAGAACTTCGAGCGCGAGTTCGACTTCAAGAGCTGCGACAACATCGTCTTCATGAACGGTGTGCGGACCGGCGCCCCGGAGGACGTGATCCTGCTCACCAAGGGCTCCGGCCACATGGCGCTGCCCCCCCACGTTCAGGTGATCGTGTCAGGCGGCTTCGCCAAATGCAGCTCCGAGCGCTCCGTCACCGACGGCTCGACCGTCATCGGCGCTGGCGCCCGCGCGCCGCCCCCGAGCCGCGTGGAGGGAGCCTATGCCCACTCTTCGGCCGACTCGGGCTATAGCGGCTCCGTCCGCGGCAACGCCGTCGACAGCTACCGCATGAGCCCGCCCCGCGACGCCACCACCTTCATGCGCAGCGGCCCCGTCGCCAGCTCCTACATGTCGGCTGCCGGCATCCCCCCGCCCCGCAGCACCGCCGGCGAGTGGGAGGTCGTTGGCCAGCTGGAAGGCTTCCAGAACGGCATCCGCGATGACTGCAGCATCGCCCCGAGCGAGAGCATCAGCTCCGTCGGCAGCCGCGGCAACGGTGGCGTCATCCGCCGCGCCACCCACAACTTTTGATTGCGCCATTCCGTTCCGTGGAGAGAGTGTTTGGCGGGGGAGAGTGACTCGCTGAGGACGAAGCGAGGTCCCTGAGAAAGGGGCAAATTCCGGCGCGCTCTTCGCATCACCTTGAGATCCGGGGTCCAACAAGGACTGAGCCGAAAGATATCAAGCATGATGTGAAACCAAGCCGGCGCTCGCTACTCCTCCCTCCCCTGCCCCCTCCGGTCTCTTTCGGCAACAACATCGCATCCTGAAGTCAGCATTTAGAGGGTCGGAGTTAATGTTTTGGGTTTTCTTTGGGAATAGCATCTGGGATCTGGTTTGGTTTACGCATGGGCATGGTTCACGTTTTCCTAAGGGACTCTTGGGGTTTTGGGCATCATATTTCAAACCACAGATTGCGGAACAAACAAATTGGCTGCATAGTTAGGTACTCGGCTTAAATACAGTGTGTTTACTCGCATTCTTGGTTCCAGTTCTTCATCCAAATCCATTTCTTGTGACATTCCTTCTCCCATACCCGCCGCCCATTCTTCGATTTTCCTCTGAATCCCAGGAGCAGGGGTTTTTCAAGTGCAATGCTAAGCCACGGGGGCCAGAACACTTATTCTCCAGCCTAGCCCAAGCGCTCTAGGCACAAAACGAGAACCCATTGTGTGACCTATCATCGGCAACGGCCCTGTTCCCACGCGATTCATCTGATTTTACGTGACATGAACATCTGTGAAACGCAACACACCACGGAGAGCTGAAACCGATATCCGCCAAAGGACCGACTGTTGAACGGGTATGTAGTCTCAATCAGTCACCAAAGGCCGAAGGTAGGCCAGTGAACTTGCTAACTCTACCTCCAACACGACGAACACAAACACAATCAATATCAATGGTGTTTGCCCCGAGTCCTCCGGAATCCTACCCTAGCATCCCACCACGGTGGAGTAGGGTGTGAATAACCGGGACGACGCGCCTAGACTCACCCCTAGAATGCAACCTCGGACCGGGAGTGCTACAAAAATGAACCAGGAGCAGAGCGAATACTTACTGCGTAGCTACAGATTAACGACCTACTTCGTACCAAAAAGGGAAAACGAATTGGGGCTATAAGCCAACACTAATCGCCTTGCGGTGCGTCTAATGATTAACTAATTTTTCAGTCTCGATAATTGGACTAACTCCGAGCCACTTGTTTGGTAATATTTCCAATAACGGCACGCTAAATCGGCTGATGTGAGCCGCCGAGCTTTCTCTTTTCTGTATCACGGGCCAGGCCATGAAATTCACCCCTGGGGTTGACGGCTCAAACTCCACTTTGGTCCTGACATTGCCCCCCTTGACCAAGAAATAGCCCCGTACCATGTAGGATTTCAAAGTTCCTTCCATCTCGATTAAGATGCGGCTTGCTAGTGGCTGTGTTCATGTCGTTAAAAGCGACGCGTGAAAGCAGTCATCCTACACCTCACCTGATGGTTTGACTTCCAACTTCCTTCCACTCGCTTTCTCACGATCAAGGGGCTAGTAATCAATCATCATGATTACGAATCTCGTGCTTCTGGCCCTCCCGTTGGTTGTCACTTACCTGGCCGCGACGGTATGGCACCGCCGATTCAAACAGTTCGCCAACTTCCCTCAGCTCAAGCCCTCCCTCCTGTGGGGCCACTTGAAACTCATCCATGAATACACCCTGAAGGGACCACCGGATGTTCACTATGGTGTGTACTCCTAAGAAACAATCGGCGGTGGTTGAAGCGGTTCAATTGACCATTGCCAGATCCGGTCTTCGCGACAATGGCCAAGGAACTGGGGAACCCGCCCGTCATGTTTCTCGACCTGCGCCCTGCCAGCTACCCCATGGTGTTGGTGAACAGCCACGAGGTCGCTGAGCAGGTAACGCGGGTGAGCAAGATGTTCGCCTGGAGCACACCAAAATCTCCCACAATGGGCGCCCTGGTTCGTTTGATCGGGCCCGAGTCTATCTTGATGAAAGGGGTAAGGTTTTTATCGACCTCTTCACTCGCTCCGCGGGCCCGCTGCTAGTTCAACGACCACTAACCACCACCCCAGAAAGAGGACTGGAAACAGCTCCGCAAGCGCTTCAACCCCGGCTTCGCGCCGCAGCATCTCATGACACTGCTCCCCTGCATCATCGACAAGACGGACATCTTCATGGAGCACCTGGACCGGCTGGCCAGCTCGGGCGAGGAGTTCTCGATGCTGAAGCACACCATCAACCTCACCTTCGACATCATCGGCGCCATCACCATGGACGTCGACTTCGACGCCCAAAAGAGCGAGTCGTCGAGCCAGGGTGAGTTCATCCGCCTCTACGACGAGCTGCTCAAGATGTACGGCCAGGAGGACAGCCGCTTCCCCTGGTGGATGTCGCCCATGCGCGAGTGGCGCCGCTACACGCTCAGCAACCAAATCGACCGCCTCCTCGAGACCATGATCCGCGCCAAGCACGCCGAGCACAACCACCACCAGCAGCAGCAGCACACCACCACCACCAAGACCAAAAAACCCCGCGACGTGCTCAGCCTCAGCCTCCAAGGCAGCGACACACTGGACCGGGCCCTACTCACCGAAACGCGCGACCAGATCAAGACGTTCCTGTTCGCGGGCCACGACACGACGGGCATCCTGCTGGCGTGGCTGTTCTACGAGTTCTCGCGGTCGCCGCACGTGCTGCAGGCGGTGCGCGACGAGCTGGACGAGCTGTTCGGGCCGGACGCAAGCCCTGCCGCCGTGCGCGCCCGCCTGTTGGCCCCCGGCGGCGAGGAGCTGATCAATCGGATGCGGTATGCCACGGCGGTGGTGAAGGAGGTGTTGCGCGTGTATCCGCCTGCCGGGACGGCGCGCATGGCGCCGCCGGGGACGGGGTTCACCGTTACGGCGGAGGGGAAGAGTTATTGTTTGGATGGGGCGATTATTTATAATTGTGCGACCATCATCCAGCGGGATAGGGCGGTGTTTGGGGAGACGGCGGATGACTTTGTGCCGGAGCGGTGGTTGGGGGATAAGGCGGGGATCATGAGCGCCGGGGCGGATGAGGAGTCGGAGAAGCGGGATGAGGCCGGCCGCAAGTTCCCGCCGGGAGCATGGCGGCCGTTTGAGCGTGGTCCGCGCAACTGCATCGGGCAGGATCTTGCGACCATCGAGGCCCGGGTGATTGTGGCGGCTGTGGCGAGGCGGTACGACTTTGTGAAGGTTGGGCTCGGGGAGCTTGACCTGAACGAGAAGGGGCAGCCGGTCATGAACGACAAGGGACAGTACAAGGTTAAGGCGGAGATGTACAATGTGAGTAGTATTCTCGGGGGGGTTGTGGGTGTTGTGTGGAGTGGGACAGATACTGACAGCGTCCAGACGGCACAGGTGACGGCCAAACCGGTCGATGCGATGCGGATGAAGGTGAGACTGCGGGCTTGAGTGTTTGATGGTCGTCCGGGTGGAGAGGGCGGAGATGGGTTGTGAGCTATGGAATGGGATGGATTGGGATCGACTAGGAGGTTGTTGGTTGGGTTAATATTTCTCATCCTAGCGTGTACGTGTACGACATCAAGGACAGTGCTTATAGCGCATATGTGGACCCCCAAACCATCTTCTCGCGCAGCTGGCCTTGTCGAGTAGCACAAAGCTTCCGGGATCAGATCAACTGATCTGATCAATCCAAATAGGCGAATACGGACACCGGTGAGAAAGGCTCCCATTCCACTTAAGCTTATCTTCCCCTTGCTCTTTTGACGTCACTTTCGGCCAAACCCCGTACGCGGCCTTGGTGACGGGTGATTGGGAATGGAAGATCGGAAATTGAGGCCCGGATTGGAGGGCTGAAAGTGGGATGTCTGCAGATGCAAGGGCGCAAATAGTGGGCGAGCAGGCGCTACGGAAGCAATATTTAACCCCACCTGCACATCGGTTAACCCGCCCCACCCCGCCCTGCCCCACAAAATGCCACCGGATTTTTCGGTCTACTTTGGACTCCCCAGAGCTTTTTTTGACCCAGAATCTCGGTCCTCCTCCTCAACTCACGGCCGGAAGGCCCCACTCCCGGCGCCGGACGGGGAAGCGCGCAGTGAATTACTTTCCGGTTCTAGTCAGATATAAAAATCACAGGCCCGGTTCCAAGTTGTCCTCCAAGATCACAATTGAGAATCATCGTGCTCCTTGAAAGAATAAGGAGAAAAAAAATAGCTCATCCCATCCCGCCTTCCGGCCCTTTTGAGCAGCGATGGCGCCAAACCAGATGGAACGAACGACCGTGCTATCACAGTTCGCCCCGTCCCAACTTGATATCGATATTGCTTCTCGACCCGGGCCGCATAAACCCAAAACCACGAATGCCGACGCTTCCCCACCCGCCGTTTCCGTTACGGTAACTGAGCTCCCATCTCCTCCGGCCTCGCCGCTGGGGGGGATAGGAACTCTCGAAGCACCACCTCCCGAGCCGATGCCCCCCGCGAAGGCAACAGAGCCATGCACGTTCCCGCTATTCCCCTTCCTTCCCGCCGAGCTGCGTCTCAAGATATGGTGAGTTGCTTTCATTGGAGAGAAAGGTCCCGAGCCCGGACCCGCTCGGGTTTCCCGGGTAGGTTTGGGTAGGTCGTTAGATGAAGTGGGCTTGGCCGGGCTGACAGGGAGTGGTGCGGAACCACACGCTCGGGTCGCAGGCACATGTCGTTCCTCCCTCGGACAATGGAGCTGCACACGCGGCGTGCCCACTACGCCGACAAGAACCCGCACGGCGGCACGCCCAAGTGGCAGTCGCAGTCTCGCAACCCGGCCGCGCTGTCCGTCTGCGTCGAGGCCCGCGCCGCCGCCCTCGAGCACTACACCGTCGCCCTGCCGCTGTTCACCCTGCCCTCGCGCACCCAGACCTCCGAGCGGCCCGGCGACCTCCTGCAGCACAGCGACCGCGTGCTGTACCTGAACCTGGAGCAGGACACCGTCGTGCTGCTTGGGGACTTGGCCTACGAGCGCCTGACCGCGCTGCTCGCGTGGTTTCGCCGGATGGATAAGCCGGTTCGCGGTCGCGGCGGGGGGATTGGCCTCCGGAGACTGGGGATCAGCGTGGCGCTCTGGACGCACGAGGGCGGCGCTTTAACGCTGAGTGCCTTCTCGCGCACCGTCCTGGCCGAGATCGAGAGGTTCACCCTGTTCATGTTCTCGGAGCGGCAGCCGCCAGAGGGGTGGACGGGTGGGCTCTGTGTGCTCGAGGAGGCCGCTGCCGATACCGACTACTACCGGCGCTTCGTCATCGGGAGGGGGAGGCAGTTTCGCGTGGGGAATGGCTGGATGGTCGTCGGGAAACAGCCCATGAAGCTGGCCGAGATTATTTTCGCAGAAGGGTGGTGACGGGTCCGATCGTCGCTCGCAGTGGTCCCGTTTCTTTCTTGGATATCTTCTTTTCGGCGTTTCGCTCCCCTCGATAGCATAGCGTAAGTGTGTATTCCCTGGAACCTCTCAAGGATCGTGTTAGCGTGCAGAGCAGTCTGTCAATAGTACCTATGACCGTCGAGTGTGCCCCCAGAATATCGGTGTAATCTGGCCATGAGCCTCAACGCAAGAGCGCAAGTGTGTAACCGAGGAACTGGGCCAGCCTCTATATTGCCCCCTGATATGGTACAGAGATATACAGTTCTATGATTACACCGCCGTGTTCATGCCCCCAACCTCCTCAGGATCTTTTCCCGGACAACCTGCTGGGCGACTTCGGCACCATGTTGTAAAGAAATGGCGCCGATAATGGCAAAGAGTGACGTGTTGAGTACGGCGGTCAAACCTGAACCCTCCAGGTGTTCGGGCTAAGTGTAGAGAAATCCAATGTTAGTCTGAAATGTATTCGGAGGCGCACCCGAGGCATATTGCAACACCACATACCATCCTCGGCTTCCACCTGGTCACCTCTGGCAACCCGACATCGATCGCCAACTTGGCCAGCTTATCCTTCGAAACCACGTCCATGGGCTGCTTTACGTTGAGCTTGTCGACGTTCGCGAGTGCGGGGTCCTGGAAGGGCTCGCGGCCGAACGAGTCCTGAGTTGGCGGGTCTCGGGCATTGGCTGGAGTGACCAAGATGTGTCGCGTAGCTTCGAAGGAAACGATCAACCGCCCTGTGTGTGGAAACCCCAGTTAGCTTGCTGCTCGTGTGCGCCATGGGTCGGACCCCTTGGAGAGGACGCATGCCGGAGACACACCAAAATAGGCCAGCCTTGTATTGAACCCTCGTCTCCCCTGATCAAAACTCTTGTGTGTAATAGCAAGCCACTTAATCTCGTCTGGCAACATCCTATCCCCCTTCGACCCCAACAGTCGGTTGTACATGGCGTCGAGTTTTGCCGGGTCCTCGTTGTTGTGCCAAACCGTCCGGCTAGGATCCTTGACAATGTTGATAGAAAACCCAGGACCCTTCATCCGCTCCGGCGTGTATGACCACCGTGGCCGGTTCTGCTGCTCGGATGTCGTCTCAAAAGAGTCGGTACGGCGGGATGTAGAGGTCGACAGTTGCCGCACCGGTTGCCTAAGCCGCTGCGCGGCCAACTGCGCTGAATTCCCGCATCGCCGTAGTGCCTTGCAGGTTGCCGAGACGGCCGACCGGGAGGGGTTGAGAGCCATTGACAACGCGGTGCACGGAAATGCGAGGTTACTAGGGTTTTGCGACTGTGAAGCTCTCAACGATCTCGACTGCTCCAAACGTCGGTGCGGCTGCCGGGTATTTTTTTCGCGGGCTGGCTTGCCAGCTGCCAAAGCCACGGACCCCTGCTCCCTGAAGCAAGGACTGTAATTCATTACGCTGCGTAACTTACACCTCGCGGTTCGTTCTCGGCTTGGCGGACCATCCGCTTGCAAGTTGCAATTGCACGCAGCTCGGGTCCCCACCATTCTCGCAGCTCGAGGTTCCACCCCTTGGTCTTTCGCGTCGCAAGCGCGTCTTCATCATTATCGACCGCAGACTTCGTTTACCACACCGAGTTCCGCCGCGATGCTGTCTTCCTCGCCGATAGGGAGTAAACGGGGTGCGAGTAGCACCGCTCCCTCGAGCAGCAGTTCTCTGCGAGATAGGCTCGCGGCAGTCCTCCCCCAGGGCCACAAGTTTGGCATTCACCACATCTCAACGCCGCCAACGCCAACGGAGCCCCTCTGTGTGGCCCCACCAGGCCACCGACCAGACAAGACATACAGGGAAAGCCACTTCCTTGCTGTCTCAATCCACCCCCCAGGCGGGAGTGACACACCTCCCAAGCGCGCTTCGCCAGGCGCTGATCGGGGCAAGGAACCAGCTCCGAAGAAGCAAGCATTGGCCTTCGCTGTCGAGGTTTTGATTTTCACCACCGCTTACCAGACCACGCTCTTCGTATCCAAAGCCGACTCGACCGGCTCTCTCCATCTTCTCAACCTTCCAAAAGGCGCCCCATCTCCAATACGCCAAGTATGCGCTACCTTCCTCGCCTACCTCCGTGACCATCGACGGCGCAAACATGTCCAATCCGTTGTCAACCTATTTGCTCGCGCGCAAGCACAATATTTGTTCCCGGGGAGCGTCCACAATAAAGGAAAGCATGTCCTGGACGACCGGGGCCTCGTTCGATGGTGGTGCAAGGTCCTGAGCCCACTTATGGAGGGGTTGAGTGAGGAGCCATGGGCCAGCACCAAAGGCTACCTACTGGTCCCGGGGTTAGAGGAGACAGAAATGCGCGCTTTTATACCACGGGCCAGCGCGAGCCTGACGAATTGGGTGATTGGCCATCCCCTAGAACTGATATCCCACTACACCCGCGATTTCAACAGTGTCCCGCCGCGATGCCTTATCCCTGGCTATCCAGACGACCCCAAATCCCGATTCCGCGATGAGCTCGACGAGGAGGTATCCAAGCAGAATCACAACATTGGGGCGTGGAAGAGCGTCAGGTCGTTGGAGCAGTTTTGGGAGATGATGGCATTCCGCCAGGAATGCTCTAGCGGGCGTTTGACCGGATTTATCTGGTTGGTTTTCGACTCAAGCGAACCGTCCTCGAACGCTCCCTCGGCAGGCCGTCCGGAAACAAAGCTTACGGCTCCCAAAGCCCCCTCCGATCTGTCTTTGCCGCCAGTCATGCCTGCAACGCCGCCTCGGCGACAGCTCGCTATCTCGACTTCTGATACCACACCCCCGCCCCGACCATCCAAAGCGCCTGCGAAGAAACCTAGGAAGAAAGCGAAAAAGAAGCTGTTAGGTCGGATAGTACCGCGGACACCCAAGATCAAAACACATGCGCGCAGTTACAAGGCCAACCGCCCGACGGTCACGGCCTACTATTACTGGCCGCGCGAAGCCCGCGGGGATAAGTTGGTGGAGGAAGCAGAGTACAAGCGCATCGTCGATTTGTTACTTCACCTGGACTTCTCGACTCTTGACAAGACGGTGGGCAGCTCTACGCGATGGCTCAACGAAGTCGGCATGGGCGACGGCGGGGAGTGGGGTGTTGTGGCAGGCAAAGCAGCCATCCCCAGCTCGCCACGAGTCAGCGATACCACCTCCAACACCAGTGGGAATGTAACCAACCTGACTGGGCTGATCAGAAGAAAGAACGCACCCGCTCCATCAGAACCCGGTAACAGCCAACAGCCGGACTCGGCGGCCAAGGAACCGACCGAACCCGCAAAAGTAAATGTCCTAGGCACGAACTTAGTACGAAAGAGGAAGAAAGGGGCCGAAGACAGTTAACAGTCTGGAGTGGGTGCCAGTCATCCGCCTGCGGGTCCCTTCCATAACCCTCGGGGGTTATTGGGCCTCGGTATGGAACGACAAGGTCTCCGCCCTTACGGTGGGTGGTGTAGTTGCGTGACAGCGTCGCCCCTCGGATCACCTTCAGGATTGCTGCCCCGTGTAGCCGTCGACATACAGCCACCGACATTATATAACACTTGGAAAATCAGTTCCGCCAACATGGACATAAATGGCGGAACAAGCTGGGTATCTCCTGGGCCCCCTGCGCCATGTCGCGCAGGGGACAGGTGCTGTACCCAAGTAGTTATCAGTCAGTTTAATAATACAATTAAAAGTCTTCACATCCGCCGCCTCTTTGCAGCTGGGCCGTCGTTCTCGCGCGTCCTCGCTGAAGCTTGAGCCCGCCCCTCATCAATTTCTCTCTGTACCCACGCCTGAGCTTCCCGTAGAACCTGCTTCTCCCCTCTTCTCACCCACAACGCCATTCTCTCCCGCCCGGACAGCTGTTCCGCATTTGCTACCTGCTCATCCTCCTCGAGCGATGTGGCGTACTGCTTCTCCCTGGCATGGAGGGCACGGAGGACAGTCCTCAAGTACAAGTCCTTGCGCGTATCTTTATCCGACAAGGCCTGCACAGCGAGCTCGACATTCCCAACCTTCTTCATCGCCTTGAGGAACGTCTTGAACTGCTCTCCCAACTCATCCGGCAAGCCCGTAAAAACGGCTTCGCTCCCCAGCTGCCCCGTCGAGTCCGGGTCCTCGCTCGACCGCTCCAGCACAAAACTCTCCTCAAACTCCTCATCCGCCTGCAACAGCCGCCTCACCCCCTCCCACTCCGCAACCCCCACACGCCCCCCAACGCGCTCTCTCAGCTCGCTCTCCACCAGCGCCCACGGCAACTCCACCACATCATAGCGGGCGTGCGCGGGCGATCACATAGCCATAGCGGCGCAGCAGCTCGCCGTTGGCCAGCGGGCCGTAGTAGTTGAGCACCTCCTCGCCCGCGCGGATGGGCCGTAGCGCCGTGGCCGTCAGCGCGTCGCCGCCGTGGTTGATGTGCGCGTTGAACGCCGCGTCCGCGTTCAGTATGTCCGCCATCGGCACCATCCCCAGCATCGTCTTTCCCTCGCGATCCTCCACCCACCCCTCCTCCTCCTCCTCGCCCTCCTCGTCCTCGTCCTTTTCGAGGTCGAACGCGTACGCCATAATGGTGCTTCCCATGCGGTGGGCGAGGTGGAGCAGCTGGTCGTCGTCAAGGGGGGGGGCTGCCCGGCGGGAAGAAGACGTGGTTGTGGGCGCGCACGACCGAGACGATCTTGGCCTGGATCATGCGGTCGGCCTCGTCCTTGCCGACCTTGGCAATCAGCGCGCTGGCTTGCAGCTGGGAGAGCTCGGCGGGCGACCAGAACATGGGCGTGTCGAAGGCGGGGGGCAGCACGTCGAGGTAGGGCTTCCAGCGCGAGGCGTCGCCCTGTTGGTGCTCGTAGATCATGGCTAGGATGAGCAGGGTCCAGGAGTCCTGCGATGAGCGGGTAGACTCGGAGTCGGAGTCGGAGTCGGTGTGCCCGGCGTCATCGCTTTCGAGGTCGAAAATGCCGGGGATCTTGTCTTTGAGGCCTGAGGTTGCGGTGCAGATGATGGCGGTTCGGGGAATGGTGAACAGCACCGTGTCTGCTGCGATGTCTTGTTGGGCGGCTATGATATTGGTTAGTTATCTGGTTCGTGGCAAGGACAGGCACCTCCATTGGGCTACGTTACTGATTCCTCGGCCAGCGTTTCGTCCTCTCAAGTCCTCAACCGCGATCAAATCCGAGCGGAAGGTGGCCCCAGGAAGAGTTTGAAACCAATTCACAAAGTTACGAGTCCCCTCGGCAAACCTCGAATTCGCGTCGCTGTCAACCTCCATTGTGAGAATATATCTCCCTAGTACTTAATGAATGAAGCGAGCTGCAAGTGCACTGAAATCCAAATATAAAAAGGCGGTTATGAGTTACAAAAATTGAAATTTTTACTGCCCGCCCCAGCGTAGCAGGTGGCTCGTGCATCGCTGATAAAAGCATCCACAAAAACACTCAACCCCTTGAGAATTCATTGAATTTTACCTTTCTGGTTCCGGTCCGGTGATATTCAAGAGGTCGTTAGATTATGTTTAGAAACAGTTATTTAGTCCGAACCACACGTAGGGCACCACATACTGTTCAGCTGCTATGAGATGCTCCGCGCTCTATCAAAGCCCAAAGTCAGAAGTATGGATCGAGTACATCCCTGATGTTCAACATTCATCCTCGTTCTCATCGGCGAAAACCCGTCATAAAATCATAGCCTCTCATTATAGCCCTGCACGGATAGCACCCCAGCAAGCCGCTCATTTTTTCGCCACGGCCTGCTGGATCAAACTCCAACACTCCTCGGCCTCCTCAAAGACATGCCACGTTTCACTATATCCTGGATCAGCGCAAAGGTTCCACAGTCACCGCACCGGCCGTCTTACCGAGGCACGCCCTCGAAGGCCTTTTCGAATCGCTGCGGCTCGTTCTTCTCCTCGATGCCGACTGCAGCAATGTCCGTCACCTTTCGGATCAAAACCAACTTGGCCCAGCCCGGGAACGCCCTGCAGGCATCGCCTGTGTTTTGGTGCTGTTGTTAGCCCCGTGTATTACCATCGCTTCGGGGGGGGGGGGGCTCTTACCGTAAGCCTCGGGGTCGCTCTGCGTCGAGTCTCCGATGAAAATCATGTTGCGCCGCGGCAACCATCGGTGGATCTTTTTGATTCTATCAATTTTGTACTTCTCGGTCCCCAGCGTCAGGCTGGACAGGAGCCCAGAGATTGTCATCCAGCTGGAGTCCCTGAGGATCAACTGCCCATGAGGGAAGTGGGCGTCCCGGAAGGTACGGAGGAAAGGATACAAGTTGTAAGGAGAGGCTGAGAGGTAGAAGAAGGGCGCCGACGGCGTCAGTAGCTCCTGGATACGTGCGTAGAGCGCCGGCATGCCTGGTACTGGTGTGGGTTCCGACTTTACGACGGGAGAGAAACGTCAGCCACTAACAGGTCTGCCGCCTACCCGCTTGGTCAAGGGGCCGAAACTCACCACGAATGTCGATTTGAGAATCCCGACGGGATCGCTGGTCTGGGTGATCTTGATTGTGTCGTCCACATCTGCGATATTCTCGTTAGAAAAAAAACCTGCTACTAGCCGCATGAGAGCAAGTGCTCGTCTAGGACGCCCATACCTGAGATCACCGCCCAGCCCTCTGGCTCCGCGTACACCGTCTTCATCTCGAGCACGCCCGTCACCCCCATAGGCACGTCGGCCGTCGTCCTCGCAACACCCCCGGCAGCTGCCTTCGGAATCCTAATCACATTGCTGCTGATGCCGTTCCTGCCTCCCGGGCCAAGCTTGACCGAGGTGGCGCCATCGTAGTTGACTTTGATCTGCCTGCCGGGCAGGACCTCCATGACAAACGGCGAGATGCGCCGCTCGATCGTCTTCTCCTCCGCACCGCCGCGGGACAGCCCGACCTTGCTGGCGATGTCGCCCACGATGTCGACCACCTTGGGCGACGCCTTCTCGTCGAATCCCGCCGCGACGAATTCAGCCTCCCACTCGCCCCCGCGGCCCCGGAATGCGACGTTGTCCATCAGCCAGATCACGTCGTCGGCCTCGATGGATGCTGGGAGCGGGTTGTTGGAGCCGAGGTACGACAGGAGGTGAGTCAGCTTGTGCTCTTTGCGCGACGCCCGGACTTGGTTGGTGGAGATGCTGGCCAGAGACGACTCCGTGTCGCTGAAGTTGCCATGGGATCGTGTCCGTTCTTCCATCAAGGAAGACGTGGTGCGCCGGAAGGACATGGCCACGGGTGGGAGTGGATGTCTAGGGGTTTTGAACAGGCCTTAACTTTGCGCAGTAGGGTTGTTTTGGTGTGTGATGCGCACTCTGCTGGTTTTTTTTTTGTTTTTTTTGTTTGTTTTTTCGTGTCTTCCCGTTGGATATATCCGGTTCACGGCCGATGTTTTTGAAGTTGAAACAACACAAGAGGGTTCCAGTGGCCAACAACAATGACGCCGCAATCTCACGCCGTGTCAACAAGATACTTATAAATGATTGACGCCTTTGAATACCACCTCAGGAAGCAACCGGGCGGATGACCGTCGACTCCGCATGACCATTGACGGGGCTGGGCTGGACTGGCACCAACTGGACTGGTCGATGGTCACTGGTGACCCAATCCGCCAAGAGCAACGCACCTTGGCTGTGCCTGCCCCCCTAAATCCGGCTTTCGGGTGCGCTTGCCAAACCCGCCATCAGGCCCCATTCGCGCCTTCCACTACGAAGTACTCTTCTCGGTGCCTTCCCCAGCCTTCCCATGTGCCTGGAACCGGCTGATGCAGCTGCACGAGAGCTGACACCCCCATCCCTGCAGGGGTGCGGCACACGATCGACGGTGCAAGGTGGCACTGCCGGAATGGCTGCCACACAATGCGTCTCAAGCGATTGATGCGCAGCCGAGACGTGCCTGACGGCGTAAGAGATCGACGACGAAGGAAATCGGCAGTGGCACTGAGTGGCCACTGACGTTGGACGAAAACCAGGATGCGGTTGGTGAACATACGCAGCACGCACGATTGAATCATTTTGTTCCGGAAATAATCTCAACAGGGATGTGCAGGTTAGGGCCGCGAAGAAACAAAGCATTTTTCTCGAGTCTCACAGTGGCGTCGCGAGCTGCAGCGCCTATCGTGATATCTAGGTACCTGTACACCTTACCCATGCAACTTGTGGCGTTCGTGGCTGTGATAATGACCAGGTAGCCCGACCCTCACAGGGGATCCCACCACCATTCAGGTCCTAGTCCACCCTCGCCTTGCCCGTATTTGGCTTCGACCCTACCTCACTCTAGATAATCTGTACGCGTGGGTAGGTTGTCTTCTCTCCCTAGTGAAACGACTACGGCGCGGGTTATCAACAGCCCCGTTGAAATCCTTATACGAGCAAATCATTCGGTTAGATACGTTGATTAGACTCAACGGGATGTTGTTTGGAAGCGGAAGTCCTATGGCTCGACAGGAACCCGTACGGTGCACCCGGGCAAATGAAGGGGAGCAGGTCCTTGGCTCTTAGCAGTCACCATACATTACAGGAGCTCCCAATCTTATCCATGACGACACCAGTAAGGCTATGGCATTGAAACTTAAACGTGCACAAAAGAGTAACCTATGACACTTGATCGAGGAAAAAGTTCCAGGTCTGCCCACAATGTGCCGGTGTTTGGAGACGTCCGTTTCTTTCACTACATTCATAGCATTGGATATCTCCATTCCCGGGGGATCTCTCGTCTGGGGCGATCACTCCACGCGGAATACCCTCGCCCTCGCCGACCGCAGCCTCAGGCTCTGAATTTCCCAACTCCTCCCTTGATAACGATATGCCGGTTTCGGGGTCTACACGTATGAGCCACGACACTACCCAGCTCTTCGAGAGAACGAGATACGCACACGATGGATGATGTAACGCCAGCTATGTGCCCCGACCCTCCAGGGTCTCTGCCGTGTCCCGAATTAGGGTGTGAGACGCTGGTGCGCGGGCACTGCTAGGGATTTATAAAAAGTCGTCGAAGGCGGCACCATGCCTGTCATATCAAACATCACTTTCATACGAGTTAAAGGCAAAACGATTTGATCCGGATGTAGTTAGCGTGCTAAGGCCCTATAGGCCCAGTGCCTCCGGGCGAAATAAATTCCATCCATCCATCCAACATCACTTTCCGGGCCCTGATGTCAACGAAACTTCCCAGCAGCACAGCAACCGCCGGAATAAATCCATTGAAGAATTGGCAGGGTCTTAAGATAGTATGAGCGCTTTCAAATGGATACAATTTTAATTTTTAATAATGCGTGGTTGTCGAGTTCTGTGCAAATCAACAAAAGTTACCTATTTGGGCAGCGGCTGCAGGGGTCTAGGGGTCTGGCTTAAGGCACAAGCAACACACACAACTCGATCGTCTTAACCCGACGCGAAATATTATGATTATTATTATTCATACTCCGCTATGCCCTGGGGCGTGCCGGACCCTCAGCTATCTAGTGCAGGAAAACCGTGCCCTCCCGGGCCGGGTGAAAAACCCATACCAACAATCAAGGAAAGTACACGTGTGTGAGCCTGCAAATACAAAGAGAGGAGGCCTCCTGGCCTCCGAACGGGGGCGCTTCAGGCCGCCGCTTCCAGCTCGAGCCTCCTGGCTAAGCTGTACATCGGCAGCTTCCCCGAGTCCATCCGCCACTCGAGGATCCCCCTCGCAAGCCGTGCAGTCGTGGGATTGATACCGTGTAGAACAGAGTAAAAGTCCCGTCGTGTCCGGATTCCAGTTCTCTCCCATGTTCGAGTCAACGGTGGGGCCAAACACCACACTACCAGGTGTTCGGCAGTCTCTCTGTCACGAATATGCCAACAGGAGGGACCCGGGGGCCGCGGGACGCCCCGAGCCAATCATTAGCAACCAATCAGGAGGCCAAGGAGTAGTCAAGGTGATCAGTGAGCTCAGTTGCCAAGGACAGACTGAGCACACTGAGCACCAGGACAGGACCACCAATAGGGAGCCGGGATGGCTCAACATTGATCAGTGAGCTCAGTTACCAAGGGCATACTGAGCACACTGAGCACTTAGGAATCAGCTAGTATATAGTCACTCGTCCTGGAGAGCTCTGGGAGTTCTCCAGTTAGCAATCACAACTACAGTTCGCTACAAGCTCGAAAGCCTACTGTTGAGACAAGTCTTTGTTGTGCACCCTTTGGCTGCACCGAACCTAAGCACCCTTGGAAGATCACCTTCGACCGAAGCCGAACCCTAACAGGACCGGGTCCAGAAGTAGGTTCGTCACACTCTCGTCCCTCGCCACACTCGCAGGCAGGCGTCAGAACCTCCGGGACTCCCCGTGTAAACAAGAAGTCCCGTAGGCCTATTGCTCCCGTCCGGATTTGAATCAGCAGTGAGCTCTTTGCCTTGTTGAGACCGTCGTGCCTCCTTAGGGTTTCGTTCCGGGATAGCGTCTCTCGCTGATGGTCGAAACCCTGACGCGAAATAGGGCCATTTAACGCGCTGATCTAGATTCCGATCTGACCTCTATACGGAAAAAAAAAAAAAAAGAGGCGGTTGCTGCTACTGCTTATCCCGAGCTTTCAAGGTCTTAAATACCTTATCCAGGGACGCCGTTCCCCTCTCTCTGTCCATCTCACTTGCCACCACCTCTTCCGCCAGGCCTGTTATCTCTGCCCGCCGCTCAATTTCCCTGATGATCCTATTCCGGGATGAAAACGCTTGCCTCTCGGCGGACGTCGACGGGCGCCATCTAGAACCCCACCGCTGCTCAAGAGAACGAACAGAGGGCATGATGCCTAGGCCGTACTTCCAGAGCTTTAGGAGGTCTGCCACGGTTCTGATATCCCTGGGCAAGCTAAAGCAGGGCGGCTGGGCATTGGCATCGTCGCCCGCGGGCGCCGCCAGGATGGGTGCTGCGCGCGGCGGCCCGTTTAGGAGGACCGGAGTTCGCTGCTGCGGAGGTCTTGGTGCCGGGGAGGCCTCCTGAGCTGAGACTCTGTCCACCTGGTGCGCGACTTGCTCCTGCCGTCGGGTCGTGCCACCTGGAGAGATCGTTGTAGTTGTAGTGATCGTGAAGGTGGTCTCAGCGTATTCCTGGACCTTGGCGCGCAGAGCCTGAAGTTCAGCAACCACTGCCAAATGCCTATCCCGAGACAGGTTCGACTCGGCCACTTGCTGTGCGGCCATGGCCTGCAACTTGTCAGAAACCCCCGGCATGGCCTTTTGAATTGTCTCGGTATAGCTATCGCGGTGCAGTTCTTCGCTAGCGGCTCGAACTTCCAATGCAAAGCCAAGGAATTCCTGGCTCGAGAACATGGGGTGCTTGAATAAGGGGTGATCTGGATAAAGCTGAATCAGGAAAGCGGCATCCTGTAGCAGAACTTCGCGTAGCCAGCATAACAGCTCTAGGAATGCGCCGGCCGCCTTGTTGGGAGCAATCCCCGAGGTCGCCGTTGCCGGGTTTTCGTGGACTTCTCGCCATAAGTCCACCGCTGGCCATATTTGTCTTTGCAAACTAGCTGGGGGCGTCACCGTAGTTCTGGGCACAAAATAAGACCCAGCCCACTCAGGATCGAAATCTGCAACAGCGCGCATAAAGGCAATGGGAAGATTAGTTAAATAACAGCCTGTCAGCTGATCCCCGTGGTTCCATCGGCCTGCACGACGAATCTAGAGTTGGATCCATTAGTATAAAAAACTAAAAATGGCATAAGAAAGTATGAAATTGTGGCATATACTTGGGCTTCGGAGACGCCTTTGATATCCGCATTTTGCGCGCCAGAAACTCGAGGGGCATGGGTGGCTTTGGTGGTTGTGATGCCCGCCAAATTATATAACTCCCTGGCCCAGTCCTTCTGGGAGTTATATGACAGCTCCTCAGTTGGTTCCTGAAGATCTGCGGAGGACTTTAATGGGATACCAGTCAAAATCGTGGGCGAAGCTTGGGAAAGGCTCCTTCTCGATCTCCCATCGCCAAAAGAACCAGAAGGCAAGCTGGCCAACAAGGCAGGATTGGGGATCTCGGTGACGTAGGCAGGACCCATACTGTGTTCTGCCATGTTGGTTGGTCTTGCCGTTCTTCATTAACACCAGAAACGCCCTGGTTGGTGCCCGGTGTGAGTCCTTTACCCCCTCGTTTGGGAGTCCCAAGCAAAAGCAGTCAGCCAGCTCCAATGGCCGCCGATTTCCAGATCGCAGCAGCATGTGGTTGCCTAGCAGAAAGTCTACGTTGGTCCGTAAGCCAATAGCGGGATTCCTATGTCGCCAGGCAGCATCGCTATGCCTAGCTATATGGGCCGGTCTCAGGGTGCCCTCACCCATATCCGCAAACTCGGCCCGGTGACGTTCGTAGACCTGCCGCAGAACGCCCTGCTTAGGCGTTTTCAACAGCAGTCCCTGTGGCCGCGGCGCTGGGTTCATCATGCCTTCGTTCTGCTGCTCTTCGAAGAGCTTCTGGATGGCGGAAATATAGCCCCGGATGGAGTTATATTGGAGCTTCAGCTCCGAGTGGAACGTGTCACCCTCCTCCTCTTCCTCCTCCTCCCCCTCCTCCTGTTCTTCTTCCAACAAATTCCCATCAGGATTTGTTTGGGAAGTATGGCTAAATGGTCCAAAACCGCCTTGTTTGCGCTGTTTCTTCTGGGCAGGCCCTCCGGCGGCCAATTGCGCCGCTTTCCGCTTGCGCTCTGCGGCAAGGCGCTTCCCTGTCTTGGGGGCACGGTTGACAACCTCGTCTCTCATGAATAACAGCAATTTGTCTTCGTCAACGAGGTCCCCTGGTAGTGTCTGCCCCAGGCGATAGGAGTCGGGCCAGGAATCGGGAAGAGGGGGAAAGTGGGCGGCACACCATTGCTTCCACTCTCGCTGCTTTGGAACATAGTTTCTGGCCGTGTTCTTTGGCATGAACTCCTTGGACGTCAAAAGGGTCAATTTCACGGCATCGGCGATCCTCTGGTCCTGCCATGACAGCAGTTCCTGCTTGGGCGCCGGCGCCGGCGCCGGTGTGGTGATGGTTTGAGGCGTAGTCATTTCAGGGCCTGGGCTATGGGCTGCGAAAATTGGGGAAAGTTGCAATGTCACGATGCGAGAATCTTCAATTTCACGAAGGCAAACAGGCGTGATTAGCGTCAGCGAGCCCCGACCAAGGTCGTTTTGGGGGTTCGAAAACAGGCCAATCCTGACCAGAAATCAATGGGGCTGGACCCACCGGGACTCGCCAGCGACTGACGGTGGGGCCGTCAGTGAGGGGTTTGACACCAAAGTCTTGCTCTGTTTTGACGAATTCGATATTAGCCGCCGTGGTCGTCGTGGATGTTCCCGGACATGAGACAGCCCCGCAAAAACTACAAATAATAAGACATCTTTTTATCGTTGTCCGAGTTGCCATGTAGTCTGAATCGAGTGTATTGCATCAGCAAACGTACTCAACGAGGCCATATAATCAAGGCTGTAAGAAGACCGGAAAGCCAATCCCATCATCTAATTACTTGCTTACATTTGGCATTTTTACGGGTGTCAATAAAGGTCCTCGGTGTAAGGTGATGACACCACTGACTGTACGTTTCAGTCAATATCCAAACCTAGCTCAACTGGCCACTGGTTAAACATGGGAGCTACTATATGTTTCATCGGTATCCTATATCAACCATTGGAGCTTAAAATCCCACTCTGGACGAGCAGGCGCTACAGGCCCTGCTGGAGGAGGCCCAATACGACCTCCTAGCGATCCAGGAACCTTGGATCAACAAGCAGACAAAGTCAACCTACTGCCCTAGAGGCTCGAAGTACCACCTAGTCCACTTCCACGGAGGCCGGGCAGCCATATTCGTCAGCCGGAAGTTCGAGATAGGGCAGTAGGAATACAAAACTACCGGGGACTACTGCAGGGTCTGGTTCCCAGGGGCAGGGAGTAGTGGACTAGAGCTCTGGTCTATTTACAACCCTCTTGAGGACAAGACCCTCTTGCAAAGCCTCCTGAGTCGGCAGGCCCCAGGCTACCCGACAGCATTAGCGGGGGACTTCAACCTCCACCATCCACTGTGGGACCAGCACGGCCGGTATGAGAGGAAGGCCGAGACCCTACTAGAACTCGCAGTACAGTGGGACCTCGACCTCCGAACCCCAACCGGCACTATGACTAGGGCCCCGCAGGGAAGCCAGCGAGGCCCGACATCAACCATCGACCACTTTTGGGCAACAGTCGGCCTTCAAACGACCTACTATGGTCTAGAACAGAGGGGGAAGTCAGATCACTACCCACAAGTCCTCGAAGTCCATATCAGCGGACCCCCTCTACAACAGTCTCAGCCAGAGGGCTGGAATTGGAAGATGATGAAGGAGAGCCGGGTAGAGGCCGAGGCAATTCAACTCCCACTGAAAATGGGACTGGAGGACCCGGGGCCACAGGGCCTGAGAGCCCGCACCAAGGAGCAGGGAGGCCTAGAGGAGGCCTTCGACCAGCTAATCAAGGAGCTACAGAGAATAGCCGAGGTAGCTACCCCTCGGAGGAAGGCTAACAGGGGCCACGGATCCCCCTGGTGGTCAGTGGAGGTCCAGGAGGCCCAGGAAGAGGCGAGAAGAGCCGAGAGGGAGCATAAGGCAGCCTCAACGGAGCATAGTAGAGAGAGGCTAAACCAGAGCCTACGGGATCTGACAGCCGTCATCAACAGGGAAAGACAAAAGGTCTAGAGGACTACGTTACAGAAGGCTACTCACCGCCGAGATCTACTTTGGAACCTCGAACGGTGGGCCCGATGCAAGAGCTTCAACCCTCCGGACCCCGCGAAACTACCTACCCTCGCGGGCCCCTCAGGGGGGCCAGACCTCTCTAGCCACCAGGATAAGGCTAGGGCCCTCGCAGGGAGGTTCTTCCCTAGCCCAGAAGCTGATCTCAGCGACATACACGACCCGGACCTACTCGAACCGTGGGAGCCAGAGTTCAACATAACGGAGAAAGCCACTGCGAGGGACATCGAGGTCACCCTTTCAAGGATTAGCCCATGGAAAGCCCCAGGCGAGGACCTTCTACCTACCGGTCTGCTGAAGGCTTACGGCTACCCATTGTTCAGGGTGTTGGCAGTGCTTACAGAAACATGCTTCCGGCTTGGGTGGTTCCCAGGGGGGTTCAAGAGGGCGAAAACGGTGGTCCTACAGAAACCCGGAAAAACCCCTGAGACCTACCGAACCCCTGGAGGCTACCGGCCTATCGCCCTCTTACCAACGGTTGGGAAGGTTATAGAGGCACTAGTGGCTAAGAGAGTCACTGGAGCCGCGGAGGCCTACGGCCTACTGCCGGCTGAGCAGATGGGATGTAGGGAGCATCGGTCCACGGAGCTGGCCGTGCGGCTAGTGGTAGCCCAGGTCCACGAGGCATGAGGCAGAAGGCGGCAGCCTCCCTCCTACAACTGGATATTTTAGGGGCCTCCGACACCGTCAACCACACCCGGCTACTAACCACCTTCCGGCAACAGGGCTTCCCACGATGGGTGGTACTGTGGGTGCGAGCGTGGCTAAGCAACAGAGTGGCGATCCTCCACTTCGACGGCCACCAGACAGAGGACATCCTAGTGATTGCAGGGGTACCCCAGGGCTCTCCGCTATCTCCGGTCCTCTTTATCCTCTATATCGCATCGCTGTATAAGGCTCTAAAGAAAGACCACCCACTGGTCAGCATAGTGGGCTTTGCCGATGATACAAACCTTCTAGCCTTTGGAAAGAACTCAACAGCCAACACTCAACAGCTAGAAAAAGCCTGGAAGGCCTGCCTACAGTGGGCAAGCACTCGGGGCATGGCCTTCGCAGCCCAGAAGTGCGAGCTAATTCACTTCAACAAAGGCCGGAAGCAGTGGGAGGACCCTGTAGCTCTCGCCCACCCAGGGGGCAACGGAGGCTATAGTACGGTTAAGCCAGTGGGCTCGGCCCGGTTCTTAGGGGTCTGGCTAGACTGGAAGCTATCATGGAGGGGCTCACTGCCAGGCAGTTGAACGGAAGCTAAGGACCCAGGACTTTGCCCTGTCAAGGATTGCGGCCAAGACGTGGGGGGCCCGAGCCTTGCCCGGGCCCGAGAGGTGTACACCAAGTGCATTTGCAGTGCTATAGTCTACGGAGCCTCTAGCTACCACCAGCCAACAGCTCCAGGGGGGACCAAGAAGCCAAAAGGGATCGCAAAGGTTCTGTCGAAAGCTCAGAACAGGAGCCTCCGCATAGTGGTTGGAGCTTATAAATCGGTCCCTATTAGGTGCCTAGAGACGGAGGCTTGGGTGCCACCACTGGACCTCTACCTCAACAAACGGCTTGCCGACTTCGAAGACCGGCTACGCAAGGAGACCCTACAACCAGGGGCGGGACCAGAAGCCCCAAAGACTATTCCGTACCCCGGGGCACTTGATCACAGAGGCTTGCAACAGAGTCTACCGCAGGGTTAGAAAGAAGAAGAAGGGCCGAGGACAGAAGCCCCGTCATGGCCCGCATGCCCCAACACCCACCGAGCAAGCCACTATTATAGTGGGCCGGTGGGCTAGCCAGAGGTGGAAGACAGGAGAAAAGAGAGGCAAGAAGTTGAAAACCGACGAAGTGATGGAACTAGCCTGGCAGGCCCGGTGGGAGCAACAGAGACCAAGGCAAGAGGGGGTTGGTAGAAGGATGGCCGATGAAGACCCCCCAGCTCTCCTTTTCACGAAAAAGACCCTACAGAGGTACGAGGGCCTTACGAAGGCCCAGGGTTAAGGTCCCGGAGGTCCGTACCCCCTACCGCGGGTGCGGGGAAGACAGGGAGACAGTGGAGCACTTGGTGGTTTGGTGCCCTGACCCAACGTTACAGAGACCGTGGGAACACCGGGAGATTTGGTCACATGGGGACTTACAAACCGTACTACGGGGAGTAGGTGCCCGGAGCGCTAGGCTTGTTAGGAAGGTCCTGGGCTGGCTGATGGACTCTGGCCGGCTACTGGAGCACAGTCTAGCCAGAAGGCCTCCTTTCTTTTCGTAGTAAGATGGATTCATACATTGTAGTCGCAAAGGGGTAGGCAGAGGTTTTTGTCTGGCCCATAGGGTACGGTTTCCTTTGTAAATAGCGGTAGAAGGGCCGGCGCGCCCACGGAAATATCGGTGTAGGAAATAATAATAATACTATATCAACCATTGGCCCCTGTTCCAGCAACATGTTAACCACGACCCCATGGCAGTGTGTTGCTCAAGGCCCAGAGAGAATGGTGAGTAACTAGTTTCTTATACCCTTATTCCACAGAGAACCATGCTTTTATACTATCACTCTCCTCCGGTTTATGCTGTTCCCCATGCTACTGCAAAGGTTCTGGTTTAGCCGGCCACCCCCCCGGGGTCTCGAAATGGTGCGCGCCTTAAGATCGTAAATATGACATGACGTCTTTGCCGGATCACGGATATCGAACTCGATTAATGTCGATAATGTTCCTAGTGTAGCAACCTAGGGGGATAGTTTGGCCAATCTCAGATCACCTGTTGCGCAGCCGGCGTCAAAGGTAGATTGTTAGTTGCGATAATCTAAACTGGTGCCCTATATCAGCCTTTGCATGAGCCACTTGGTGTTGGTCGCTCAACATCTCCTTCGCTCCCTCCATGGATATGGGAAGCATTGAACTAGCACATCAATTGATTGCCATGGTGCCCCTTGGGGACAGCCAATCCGTACACACTTTCTCATCAGTCAAACTGAGGTCAACATTGTTATCTATATCGTGAGGTCACTCCGTACTATTACGCGGGAAGATAGGGGCATCTACCCCCCGAATCTACGCCATCCTTTCTCCCTGGTGGAGCGCCGAAAAAACTAGTTTCCACCATGCCCAAGGCGGTAGCGCAGGGACCAAGGAGATTGGCACGCCATAATCATGGATACTTCTTCCATTGCTGTGGCCAAGGGTATCAGCTACGTCTAGATAGACGCGTGCTATATTGACAAGGCGAGTGTGGTTCAACGACTTTCTCCGGCGTCTTACGCAAGCGCCGTATCCAAAAGCCCCATGTCGGGTATAGGCAGATGCGGGACTCCTTCGGCGATAGAATGGAAGCTGTTATAGGAATCTATCCTTGAACTTGTCCCTAAGTGCGTAAGACTCCTCTCTTGCAAAGACTTGAGCATTTCTGAGGTTCCTCCGGCCCTCCTTAAAGCCTTTGTAGGAGCTCACAAGATCTACGGACTTGATGGGGTACTGATGATACTCGGGCGTGCCGCCCTTTGTTTCAGTAGCGTAATGTGCAAAGAAATTGAGGCGGGTACCATCTGTGGTAAATGGTGTGACTTTCGCGTGACCAGCGCAATCAGGTTCTTTTATAGCATCGAGGGCCTGGTTTCTAGCGTAGACTAGAGCCGTACCGCCGTAGGCGGCTTGTAGTCTTGCTTCTGTTATATCACCACTCCGGGCCTTCCACTCTCCGGCTATGTGCGGTAGCGTAATGGAATGGGGCTTGTTCTTGTAAAGGAGAGCACCGGGAATGACCTTGGTAATTGGGAATGGTCGGTATTCTTCTGCCTCAACACCCTCGACATAGTCGGGCTGTGGAGCGGACAGGCCGTTCTTGAACCCAACGTTTTTTGGGTAGCCCGTAAACGCTCGGTCAAGCGCACGCGTGTAGCCCTCGTCGGGAGATTCTTTGAGTGGCTTTAAACTAGTCTGGTCAATTACAGTTGCCTCGTTGGCTCCATCGACTTTACGGGTATAGCCCTTATAGACTGGCTCGGAAGGTGCGATGGTTGCCCGCCTCCTCAGTCGTTTCTGGATCTCCTTAAGGTTCGTGGGGGGGTTGGAGCCCTGGTCGTGGAGGATTCCGTTCTGTCGACCCGAAAAGCAAACCAAGCGGCCGTAGTCGAGAGGGTCTTCGGGCTCGAGGAGGAGCCACAAAAGGTGGAGCCCTTCTTGGATCCCTTATAGTTGTTCGCCATCTTGTTGAAGCGTGCGAGGTTCTGCCGTGTTAACCGTGCTGGCTCCGAGATCGGTTGCATTGTCTGCGCCCGCTTTGCCCGTAGTTCAGCGTTGTTGTTGATGTCTAGTTGTTGATTTCGTGACCGTGGATATGCTGGAACTTACTCTTGGGCTGCGGAAGTTCCGCTTTCAAGGGCCTCGGAGAGGTTTGTTTCTTATTCATGCTTACTTGAAGGACAAAAGGAGATTTCCTGACGAGTTAGGCCGCTTATGTTGGGAATTTTCTTTGTGATAGGAAACAAAGAACACAGCAAGGATCATTGCAATTTGCGAAGCAGGAGGCAAGAGACACTGGCGACAGGGAGGCAAACAGAGAAAAAATCGAATAATTGGGTGTTGTCACGGTTGTGACAGTGTGGTTCATATACGCAACTCCTGATTCGACTGGACAGTTCGAACCGCGGTTCTCTTCTGAGGTGTTACGTAGTGGTTAATTGCGCCCACTACTGTAACAGGCGTTTGCTATTACGTCGGGTACAAACAGCGAAGGTTGAGGCCTATATATGATACTATTTGATGGCCACCTAGTTAATTAGAAGTTGAAAAAATCATAACCTTTCTTTTTCTACAACCATTGTTACAGCCATGTAGGGCTTTCCCTATCAGTGCAACTAGCATCAGCCAGTGCACAAAGGTAGAAAAATCAGAATATTAAATACATTTTTGTTTAGCCTAGTTTTCGTTAAAATACAAGTGTTTAAATAACTCGTCGGAAGTTGAACCTGTGGTGCGCGCACAGACTACCATAAAGATGAGAGCTGTTAACACCACCAATGTATTGTCGACGGGGTTTGCCTCACCAAACCACCACTGGCGTCCCCAGCGAAGCTGGACCACGAGCTGCGCTCCATCTGGGACTGCGTGACATGCGATGCAAGAGTCGGAACGGACCTCACATTGTACAATGCCTATCCTTTCCGCGACCTCGAGAACACTAGCCTCCCATTCCGCTGCTACAGCGAGTCGATCCTGCATGTCCCGATCCTCAAGATTGACGATGCAATGCGCATCTGCGAGGTTCTCAACGACTGTCCCGGCGACGGCTTGACCGAGAAACCTTGTCGAATGTGTGCATTTGGATGGGCCAACTTCTTCCTGGTAGCTGTTAACTGGATGCGTGGAACAGTGATGGACGCATCACTTGGCAATTTGCAAAGGTTGGTTGGTTGTTTAGGTCACCATTAGGCATTCGGGTAATTATCACTAGCTTCGGCTTTGACCCCTACGAAACCTATTTTCGCCATGGCGAGCGTAGAGCCGAGAACTGCCTGTTTGGGAAAGCCGTTATCGAATGACCAGGCCATTGGATTACCGTCATATGCGACGGGTGCGGCAATCAAGAATCCAACTCGCTTAAATATCTTCTCCGCAGCGAAATGCTAGTTTGTATCCTCCTTCTGCGCCACAGATGAATAAACCTATCTGGCGGATTCCGCAAACCTATGAGCCTTTGCCGACCTTCGCGGGGTGGGACCTGGACTGGAAGGATGGCCCAGTTAAGGTCGGTGACCATGATGGTACATACTTGTGTTTGCTGTTCACTAACCTGCATTAGGCTACTGTTGTTACCTTTACTTCGACCTCAGTTCGCGTCATCCAAGCAGGCTGTCTCCCGTCCTTATCCCCAACCGTCACTGAACAGCCACCTCTCTTTATTGGGGAGGGATTGACAGGCTACAATATAGATATAGATATTGCTCGGAGTATCGTTCGGTGGATCATATGTCCTGGCGAACCGCTGCTTCCGTCTAACGACATGTTGCCCTCGTTTTCTAAGAGCAGGGCCATGCTTGCGTCTCCCAAGGCCGACAGGTGCCGCATATTTAGCGATGGCTCTGGCACTTCCGAAGACTGACAGTCCACCGCTGCGACCTAGTGATATGAGGAGGACAGCTTTCATGGTGGGATAATTCCTAGCTGCCAATAATAGGTCAAGGTGTGGTATAGGTTGGGTGGTCAGACATAACAGCTGTTGGAATGTAATAAATAGCGAGGGGAGAAGAGTGGGGGGGGGAAGGGGGGGGAAGAGGACCAAACTGGAATAGGCGGTAACGTACAAGTACAATCCGTGAGTGGATGACTCTGCTAAGGAAAAATTCATGTAGAGTAACTATACGACCTGAAAACAACCCAAAGAGCTGGGGCGGATTATCGCCAAATATTTCGCTACGCTTTATATATATTGAAGCGGTGATGCGCCTCGAAAGCGTGCATACCGCAAAAGCTTGGGCCTGGTGCCTTACGCCTTGTGATATGAATGTTGTATGATGGAGATGGCTCAGAAATAGTAAACTTCCACCACGGGTCTTCCAATTACGTTCTGGTAGCGCCTACACGCGCAGTCCTCCACATATAGGGCTGCGGTCCAGGGAACCGCGGTAAAAGGCTACTTCTATAAGTATAAAAATTAAAAGTAAGAAGTATCTACCCCCTTAACTCAAGGAGGGTCTGGCTCACTAACTAACGGAATCAATGCAACACTCGAACAAGTTAGGCGTTCGAGCGCCACCAGTCCACATTTTTTCAGGGGTGAATGCACCCACAGCACCAGGACCAACATTACCACAAGATGCCAGACATATATTTGAATTAAAGATATTAGAAGTACAATGAGTAAAAGAGAGGCTATTCCCAATATATAGAACCCTGCTAAACACTTATATAGCTATTTGAAAATGGAGTTATTAAATTGTAGCTCCTTCTTGTGACGAACCTGTCTCTGGACCCGTCCTGCTAGGGTTCAGCTTCGGTTGAAGGTAATCTCTCAAGCGTGCTTAGGCTCGGTGCAGCCAAAGGGTGCACAACAAAGACTTATCTCAACAGTAGGCTCTCAAGCTTGTAACGAACTGTAGTTGTGATTGCTAACTGAAGAACTCCCAGAGCTCTCCAGAACGAGGGACTATATACTAGGTAGTATCACCATCCGGCTGGTGATAATCGTTCAGTATCACTGACACCCAGTGATAATTGTTCCCATTGGTTCTTAAACGATTGGCTGTCAGCGTCCTGCACCTTTTTTGGCTGGGACCGCCCCGGCCCGTCTCTTGGGTCATTCCGTGACAGTAATAAAGGGAAGGGAGTAAGAATATAAATGTTTAATATCTTATAACGTATATTATAAGCGAGCGATGCACTGTTCCCCGCGACGCATCTCCTCTTCCCTGTTCCACCAGATCCTACCACAACCAGCTCTGCGTAGCCCCCCAAAAGAAGCCAGGCTTCGCATGGCCGTTGAAGCCATCGGAAAGAACAAAAGTCTCAATATCCGGGCCGCAGCCAGACTGTACAACGTTCCGGAAGCAACGATTCGCCACCGACGTACTGGCCCGTCTCCACGACGCGATTTACCAGCCAACTCGCGTAAGCTTACGGACCTGGAAGAGCGTACAATAGCTCAATATATACTGGAACTGGATGCGCGCGCATTTCCCCCTAGACTGCGTGGTGTTGAAGATATGGCCAACCACCTGCTCCGCGAACGCGATGCGCCCCCTGTCGGCAAGCTCTGGGCCCACAACTTTGTCAAGCGCCAGCCACAGCTCCGTACGCGTCGTACGCGTAGATACGACTACCAGAGGGCCAAGTGCGAAGATCCAAAGGTCATTGGCGAGTGGTTTACGCTTGTACAGAACACTAGGGCCAAATATGGGATTGTCGATGACGATGTCTATAACTTCGACGAGACTGGGTTTATGATGGGCATCATCTTCGCGGGTATGGTAGTTACGACCTCAGACGGCCGTAGCAAGGCTAAACTAGCCCAGCCTGGTAACCGCGAGTGGGCGACTGTAACCCAGGACAGGCATACGGTCGCCTGATCGAGGAGCTGATGCGCGCACACATCAACCATATCACCAAGCTCGAGTTCCTTTGTGCCTTTCGCGAAGCCTTCTTTGCTTCCATGACAGAGAAGAATATCCAGGGTGGGTTTCCAGGGGCCGGTATCGTACCACTCGATCCAGAGAGGGTGCTTTCTAAGCTGGATGTCAAGCTTTCATACACCAACACCCCCAAACTCCCGGCCTGGCACTGCACAACCTTGGGTCTCTAAGACCCCACACAACCCCCAAGAAGCCAGCTCGCAGTCAAACCTTATCAAGACTCACATCGTTAGCCATCAAAACAGCTCCCCAGCTTCAATGTTGGCTGCTGTTGACCAGCTTACCAAAGGTACAACGGCTGTAATGTACCAGGTGGCTCTCCTTCAGTCAGAGGTCTCTTCGCTCCGCAAGGCCAACGAGGCACTGAGCAAGCAACGGAGGGCCAAAAAAACACGTGTGCAGCTTGGAGGGTCACTTACCGTACAGGATACACAGGATCTACTAGACCAGAGGGCTGTAGGTAAGGGGGGAGTGCAGGAAACGCAGCCGGATGGTAGTGGTACAGGGGGGGCTCGTACGAACGTTCGGTGCTGTAGTAGATGCCGCAAGCCTGGCCATAATGCCCGCACTTGCCAGGAGGGTGCAGAAGCCACTGATACAGCTGTTTCTGATGTAATTGTACAGTGCGGGTCCAAAAGTCTGGCCCACCCCACATCAATTAAACGCGTGTCGCGACACAACACCCACCATCTTCAATCTCGCACTTCACAGAACTCCAGCCCACCATGATCAATTTGGACGAAATTGGGGCCAAACTGACGGCCGGCCGTCAATCTGGCCAGGAGCTATCGACTTTTGCACGTGTAGCCATTGTAGGTGCCGTTGCAACCGGGGCAAGCCAATCGGCCGTTGCTCGCGCGTTCCGCGTCGACAGAAAGGCAGTCCAACGAACACTTCAACGCTTCGAATCTTCAACCACATTTGAGGCTAAGCCTAGAACTGGCCGGCCAGAGGTTCTTACACGTCGGGAGAAACGGTACATTATTCAGTTGGCAAAGCGGAACCCTCGCCTATCAACACAAATGCTCACCAATACAGTTGATACTCGGATCTCTCGATCAACGATCCGCCGGGTTCTCCGCCATCATCGTATGCGGAAATGGCGTGCACAGAAGAGAATCCCGTTGACTAAGGACGTGGCAGTGGCTAGATATAAATTTGCTTGCTTTTGGTTGGAGAATATCGAAGTGTTGATCCGAGTAAGTGACTCTGAAGCTGGTCCCTGATTTTGCTAACCAACCTCTAGTCTAGCTTTACCGACAAATCGTCATGCCAAAACAATTCGAGTAGCCCAACAGCTTGGGTCTTTCGGTTTCCTTCTCAGAAATGGGATAAGAACTTCGTCAATTTACAGAATCATGGAAAAGGCAATATTTCGATCATGATCTAGGCTACAGTGGGGATCCAAAAGTATCCGGCCACCCCGCTTTCATTAAACGCGAAACGCGTCTCGCGGTTTCCTACCCTTAACTTTTGAACCACGACAATTCAACAAGATGAAGCTCAATTTGGCCGATTTTGCTGCTGAATTGACTGCCGGACGCGGGAGATTACAGGAGCTTTCTCCAGGCGCACGTGCAGCCATTTGCACACTTGTTGCGGCCGGGCAGAGCGAACGCGCCGTTTCTCGCCTCTTTCGCGTATCCCGCGATACCGTCGCCCGCTGTGTTGAGCACTGGAAAACTCACCGAACGTTTGATTCGCGACCCCGGAAGGGCCGGCCGCCGGTTCTAACTCGAAGGGAGAAACGGTATATCGTTTTACTTGTCAAAAAAAAACCGAACCATTGCGAAAAAAGCGCTTGTTAACGCAACTGGCAAGGTTGTCTCCTATTCTACCATCCGCCGCTGCCTCCGGTCACACCACATCCGCAAATGGAGAGCTATGAAGAGGATTCCTTTGACCAAAGAAGTGGCAAAGGATAGGTACAATTTTGCATGCGATTGGCTTGAGAATATCGACGAGTTCCTTCAGGTTAGTGGTGTTGAACTTACCTCCTATTTCTTACCCCGCTAATCGTTTCAGACGATGTTCTCAGACGAGTGTTCCTGTCAGAATAACACTTCAAATCCGACTAGCTGGGTGTTCCGATTTCCGTCCGAGAAGTTCGATAAGCGTTTCGTCAACCTCCAGAACCATGTGAAAGCGAACATCTCGATCATGCTTTGGGGAATGGTCTGGAAAGGGGGGAGAAGTGACCTCATCGTGATGGAGCGCGACGAAGATGCCCCGAGGCGAGGATACACTGCGAGATCTTACCAGAAGGCGCTCCAAGAAGGTCTCCTACCTCATTACAACGATACCCGGCATTTCCAGCAAGATAACGCAAAGATTCACGTCTGCAAGGCAACGGAGGAGTGGCTCCAGACGCGGGGGATTTCGTGGATCGAATGGCCTGCACACAGTCCGGATCTGAATCCGATTGAGCACGTTTGGGCAGCTCTGAAGAAAAACCTACGAACGTTATTCCCAGAGCTATGGTGCCTGAAGCAGAACTGCGTAGATATAGCAAAGTTCAAAGAGTGCTTGCATACGGCGTGGGAGGCTATCCCACAGTCGTTCATCGACAAGCTGATCGAGGGAATGCCACGCCGGCTAGCCGCTGTTAAAAAAGCGAGGGGGTGGTATACAAAATATTAAAGTTTTTAAACAGGGCTCTTAACAACATCTATTGGTTATGCGTCATGATTTGGTGATGTTGAGATATTTGCTGTTAAAGCCTCCAAGATATAATGTAGGTGGCTGGGAAAAAGCGGGGTGGCCGGATACTTTTGGATCCCCACTGTAGTATCTAGAAGGGAGGGAGGACCGACCTTATTGTGATGGAACGTGACTATCAACCTCCTCAAAAAGGAGGCTATAGCTCATGGAGCTATCAACAAGCATTGGAAAAGGGTCTTCTTCCAATTTACGATGGTACAAGGCACTTCCAGCAGGACAATGCCCGAGTACATACATCTGCATCCTCGACCGAGTGGCTCCTGAACCACACAATTGAGGTGCTTGAAGATTGGCCAGCTCACAGCCCAGATCTTAATCCAATTGAGCATATGTGGGCTCTATTGAAACGGAGGATGAAGCAGCAATATCCAGGCATCTGGTTACTGAAGAAAAACCAGCTGGATGTTGCTGAATTTACCAGATGTCTTCGTGCATGTTGGCGGTCGATCGACCAGGCTCAGATTGACCAGCTGATTGATTCGATGCCCAGACGATTGGCTGCAGTCAAGAAAGCCAAGGGTTGGTATACAAAATATTGAGGGCTGGAACCTGGGCTTCTAACTGTGTATATCCTTTTTACTAGAACTTGCAGTGGTGGTGAGTTATGCCGAGATATGTCCAATGGTCGTGGTGTTAGAAAAGTGTGTGGCTGGGGATCCGGATGCGGGGTGGGCCAGACTTTTGGACCCGCACTGTAGTTATTTCCTAGTGTTGTTGTAATATTTCTAGGGATAGTTAATGTAGTGCTGTGGGGGCTCGGTCATTCGTTGATATGGGTCATCCGTTGATAATATACGTTAAGGCTGTTAAAACCGTACTCTTTTGAACACGAAATTTATTGTATGAAATAACTAAGATCTAAGCATCATTTTAGAGTTAACTTATAACTAGCCACCCTATAAGCTAAACTGAGTATAGTAGGTTTAGACAGGATAATAGGCCTTTACTAAACTATAAATTTAGGAAAATGCAATAATAACCTTTCTAAACCAGGGTAAGGTTAAATATTCTATAAAGTTTAAATTGAATATAACTGATGTAGACTCTTAACGTTCCTGAAAAACTGTACCATATAGCTATTTACTCTATGGGTTAGAAGTCGCGGGTAATATCCAAGTACAGTACGGGTCCAAAAGTCTGGAGCACCTCACATCAGAACTCCCAGCCACGCACTTCTCTGGGACTATGACCTACAGACGTATCTTCAAATAACATCCCACAACCAAAAGCTCTAGTAAAATAGATACATACAGTTAGAGGCCAAGGTTCTAGCCATCAATATTTTGTATACCAACCCTTGCCTTTTTTTTTTTTTTAACTGTAGCCAATCGTTTCGGCATTGAGTCGATTAGCCGGTCAATCTGAGCCTGGTCAATTGACCACCAACATGCACCATGGCATCTAGTACATTAAGCAATGCCTAGCTGGTTTTTCTTGACTGACCAGATATCTGGATAATCCTGCTTCATTTTCCGTTTCAACAAAGCCTACATATGCTCAATTGGATTGAGATCTGGGCTATGAGCAGGCCAGCCGTCAAGTACCTGAACTGCAGAGTTCAGCAGCCAGGTGGTTGTAGATGTGGATGTATGTACCCTCGCGTTATCTTGTTGGAAATACCGAGTACCATTATCAATAGGAAGAAGACCCTTTTGCAATGCTTGTGAATAACTCCAGGAGCTATATCCCCTTTTTGTGGCGGTTGGTAGTCACGTTCCATGACAATGAGGTCAGTCCTCCCACCTTTCCAGATACCACCCCAAACGATGATCGTAATTGTGCCTTTGCCGTGAGTTTTGAGGTTGACGAAGTTCTTATCCCATTTTTGAGAAGGGAACCGGAAGACCCAAGTCATTGGGCTACTCGAACTATTCTAGCAAGACGATTCATCGGCGAAGATAGACTAGAAGTTTGTTAGTAACATTAGAGGTTAATGATTAAGTCACTTACTCGGAGAAGCTCGTCAAGATTGTCCAACGAAGTGCACGCAAATTGATATGGGAAGTTCTAGCGAGCACACCAGTTCTGCTAAGGAGCACACCCGGATGACTAAATCCACCTCCCCTAATTTTGTCTACACCCTTCGCAGCTGGCAGCAGCCACCACAATGCCTTTACCACCTTCCCTTTACAGCTGCCACGCTGCCTGCCTTCGCGAAAGGAAGCTATTTCTACATCGTGCCATTTCCCTGGAAAACACCGTCATCCTCTGCATCGGTTATCTCGGAAATCCCAGACCTCCTTTCTTGGGCGTTCTTGCGTTTTCCAGCCGAAATGACCCGCGCCAAGGCGCGTAAGACGTGTTGCCATACAAATTTCAGTGCAAATGTATCGCGCTAGTCCTATATAGAATCTGGCCCACTTTTAACCAAGAACGCCTTTGAAAGAGGTCTGGGTTCATTGTTTGGGATCTGGGCCTTACGACCAGCGCTTCCCCATACAAATGGGAAATTCCTGTCTCAGACACTCGTAAATATTTCAACACCAAGACATCACATCGAAAATGTAATTAGTAGCGGAGGATGTTGCGAAGCGCGTGCGTCTAACGGTAGTAAGTTTATTATTTTAATCGCGTTGCATTGTTGATCTGTTGCAAAGCAAAAAAGGATTACGACCAGCGCACTTCCATCCGATCGATGACCCCCCTCCAAATTCAACAGACTGTCTTCAAACATCGTCAAAATCCACAGCGACGTTTTCCTACTATATATCAACCTCCGCGTGCTTTTTTCCATCGCCACATCAATCGCGCATTGTCAGCGCGGCTTCGAGGGTGTGAAAAATGGACTTTGACGACACTGATCAGCTCATTAACGATGCCATTTGCGCAATTACTGGTGCTCAACGCGCTCGCGACGGTCAGATCAAGGCTGCGAGGCGTTTGGCATACGACAAAGAAGACACGCCACTGGATACGGCAAAAGCGCAGTCCTATACACCTTCGCCGCCCTGACAAACCGGATCACGGTACAAATCGTACCTCTGACGAAGCTGGGCGAGAACCAGCGCGATGACATTGCGAACAATGTCAAAGATTCGAATCCGGCGTGGATTGACGGCGACACGCACCTCAAAGTAAGCGTTGTTACCCCTGACCCCTGATATAAGCCTCTGGATGCTAATAGTTATTAGAATCCCAAGATCTGGGACGAAGTTCGCAATGGCGACTACACGCATATTATCTTGAGCCCCGAGCAAGCCGTCAACCCGAAGTTCAAGTCTATCCTGAGAGACCCAGAATTCCACGAAAAGATCGGTCTATTCGCCATCGACGAGCTTCACATTGTTGGCGAGTGGAGGGATTTCAGGCCAGACTTTACGTATCTCCATACATTGCGGTCACTATTACCACGTTGGGTCCCGTGGTTTGGCTGTACAGTGACGTTGGACAGGGACAATCAGGATTATATTCTTAAGCATGCTAGGTTTGACCTGCGGCGTCTGGAGATCATCCGCACCTCTGTCAATCGACCAGAGATCTCCATCGCTGTACAACCGCTTGTTCGCGGCTATATTAATGACTTGACGCCTCCATTATCTTCTCGAAGATTCCACAGTCCACACGGTTCGCAGCATCCCCAAAACGATCATCTACATCGACAGCAAGCCCCGGTTGATTGCGGCACGATGGTCTCTATGCAAGTACGCTCAGGAGAAGTGTAGTTTATCTAAGGAGTTTGCTCGCAAGGTCATACAACGGTACGATGCCGACGTTCGTGATGCCGACAAGAACATCATCTTCAACAACCTGGCATCTGACTCTGATTGCCGTATCGTCTTAGCGACGGTCTCCCTCGGTATGGGGATGGATATCCCTGACATCGTTCGAGTTGTTCAGTTCGGCTTGCCGAAGTCCCCCAGCCTCGCCGACTTATGGCAGCGCTTTAGTAGAGCGATGCGTAACACGCAAAAGGCGGCGGAACAGGGATATATTCGCGGGATGGCTGTTGTATTCGCGCCTTATTGGGTATTCAGTCATATTGGAAGCACTGATAAACCAGTACCAAAGACTAAACAGCCAAGAAGACGACCAGCCCGTCAACAACAAGCCCACATGCCCGCCATTGCTAGCCGTCTCCGGGAGATGGCTCTTGTTGATCGCGACGATGACGATATCGCTAGTCAAGGCAGTCAGAACAGCAACCCAGTTAGCCAGACATCGCAAGCCATAGAAGAGGCTGCAAATGCTCAACAACAAGAAGAGGCTATCGCCCTCAGCTCCGTTGGTCTCTGGGACTTCGAAAAGCGTATCAAATGGAGCAAAAACGACATCACTGCGCAAGAGAAACTGGATCTAGTTATCAGATCCTGGCTCAACAGTGGTTGTTTCCGTGAGTCCGCGCTAGATTATCTACAAGAGCCCAGCATCGAAGACGACCCGGATCTTGAGTATCGACGACCGCTTGATAAGGAGTTCTGTTGTAACGGCCACAACTGTAACCGCACGCTGGGCCGCATCCCACCACTTGAACCGCTGAATAAAGGGCAGGAGAAGCCCACAACTGGCTCGTTGGCAGCATTCGCGATGGATCGGTTGGCGGTATGGTGCAAGGAGCAGGCGCAACAGTTAGTTCCCGCCGAGCATCGCCACTTTGACGTACTGGGCGAGATGTGGATGGATCTTCGCCTTCAATATGCCGTCGCTTGTCTGTTTTTGCAGGGCCCCCGCAAAAAGCCAGAGCTCCCGTTGAACGATGTCCCGTCGCTGGTACAGAAGCTCCCAGCGATTAGAGAGTGGGAGCACCTTCAGTCCAGTGGTCCAGAGCTAGTAGCGGTCTGTACAGAGTCAATCGCTACAGTCATTGAGGCTCGCGATGCTTACAAGAAGAAGAAGAGTGCAGATAGGGCAGCCCGCCGAAGGTTGGTATAGTGTCTGGTTCTGGCACAGAGGCAGTAAGCGGCACAGTAAGCGGTACTAATGAAGGCCGCAAGCGGGCGGCAGAACCATCAATATCGCCAGCATCGAAACGCTGAGATATCAAATTTGTAAAAGTAGTGTAATTAGACGATTTCCGGCGATTTGAAGCAGTTTGACAGTAACATGCAGAAATTTGCGCTCAATTTGTTCTACATACTCTTACCCCTGAACCCCTGAACACTCAAATTCCCAATCCGCCGACATCGTCGTCTTGATTATTCAAGTCTACACGCCAGAAGTCATCTTCGGTAACGTGGAACAATCGCTCCCCTTCATCCAGCCAGTCGATTTCGTTGTCTTCTGTACCACCTGTACCAACGCCAGGGATCAGCCGCTGATCAGCTGCATCCTTGAGCTCGGGCACAACGGCATTGAAGTCAGCAAGCTTCGCTAGCAGCTATTTCTGACGCTATTCGTATATATCCGGGGCATCGAAGCCAGCAGGTGGGATGTCGGCCGTCCGGCGCCGCGTAATTCCATCCTTGTAGAGCTTGCAGGCGTATGAGATGATGTCTGCCGTCGCGTCCCCCGCAGTGTGAGTACCCTTCTGCTTGGCTCTGAATACGCCTTCAACCGACTTGCGAATAGTTGCGAGATAGTTGCCATTGAGCGCGAGCCGGGAGAACGTCGCCTGGATATCGTGCGTGGAGTTCTTGTTGAACTTGACGTCGAGCGCATACGATGCGTTGACGTGCTCCAACAACAAGTCGATGGCTTTGTAGCCACTGCCGGCGGTCGTACAGCGAATCAACCCGCCTTTGAGGATGGCCTCGGCGAGACCAGTCTGTTTCGCGACGCTGGGATGTAGAATCCATGCGAAATACAGCATCTCTGGGCCATAGTTTGATCCTTTTCCTCCCCAGAAGAGGACAGGTAGCATTGGAATGATCTCCCGAAGAAGACCGTACTCACCAACACGGACTGCCTCGTACATCATCAGCAGGATCTCAACGCATTGCATGAGGCGGCAATGGTTTCGGAACTCCACGTCGATAGAGCCGGGTTCGGTATCCTCATAACGGCCTGCCCACGCGGCGGGGGATAAGACTGTCTCCTAGACGTGGTCAAATACACCCCCAAAGTCATCCTCGTCCATAGCCTCCACCGCATTCAAGATGCCGTCGACTGACAGTGGCCCCTGCAGTGTGCCTTCTTCAATCAGATGGGCAATGATGAACGCCAAGATTCGAGCCGTATACCCGTGTATAAGAAGAGGTAGCGCCTGGTGATACTTGATGTCCTTCTTGGTAATATTCTTGCCGCGATGGAAGAAATGAACATCGGCCGAGATCGTAGCGGAGGAGGTCGTCTTGGTACCGGTATCCCAGAACATCCGGAACAGCATCTCAATATAGTTGAGCTTGATATGGAAGAAGGCGGGGATAGGAAGCATCCATTTCTTTTGCTCCCATATATCGACAGACTCAAGCTGTGAGTTCTTGATGCGCCGGATGAACGACGTCGTTTTCTGATCGCCGTAAACAAACACCAAGCGGTCGGCGAACTCCTTGAAGTCTAGTCGGCTTTTGAAGAGTGGGCTACTCGAATTGTTTTGGCATGACGATTCGTCGGTGAAGATAGACTAGAGGTTGGTTTAGCCAAAATCCAGGGAGCACAGCGTCTCAAGAGTCTACATTACTCTCGGGATACTAACACATTCTGATATTCTCCAACCACAAAGCAGCAGCAAACTGTATGATCTAGACGACTGCCACGTCCTTCGTCAACGTGGATTCTCTTCAGGTGTGCGACGCCATTTTCGTATACTATGATGGCGGAGAACTTGGCGGACCGTTGATCGGGAGATCCGAGTATCAACTGTATTAGTGAGCATTTGCGTTGATAGGCGAGGGTTCCGCTTTGCCAACTGAATGATGTAAGTCCGTGCACCCCGTTTCCGATCAGGCCACTAACCGATCAAAATCCACCATCAGCCCCCCCGTTCTCGGTATCTACAGGAGGGTCGAAGATCGACCATTCCAGGCACATATCTTCGAGGACATAGCTATTTACTACTTCCGAGGGTTTCAACTCCTCTGCAAGTGCCTTTTTGGCCTGCATTATTTGCTCAATTTGAGCAAACCGGGTGTTAGGGTCCAACCTAACCTTCTTCCTTTTCCTAGGCTTCAGCCTGTCTACCTCAGCTTCCAATGCCCGAATCCTCTGTTGTTGACTAGCTAGCTGGATAGCTGTGTAGTCAAGACTTTTGCCAACCTTTGCAAAGAGAGTCCGAGCTACTGGGTCTATTGTTTTGAGTCGCTTTAGACGGTAGTTGGTAGCGACTAATTTGTGGACCTCTTGACTGCGACTTGGAGTCTTAACCTCCTGGCTGCTCGGCTTGTTGACGCCCTGACTGCTTGGCTGAGTTGGCTGAGTTGGCTGAGTTGGCTGAGCCGGCTGGGTCGGCTGGGTCGGCTGGGTCGGCTGGGTCGGCAAGAGTAAACGGCTCATGAGAGGCTTGTCGACGTTGACTGGCCATAACCCTGACGCTTTCCAACCACTACGGATATTTCTTTCCGTAATGGCATCGCTCCTAGCCTTTGAATAACAACAGAGAAAGAGTCTTTTGCCAATAGGGGCACTGTCGGTCATCAGAGCCAAGTCATCAATGCCTCAACGGTAGGCAGTCTTCAAGGGAGAAAAGACAGAGAGATCAAGAGGTTGGAGAACATGAGAGGCGCGTGCTGGTAAGAAGAGAAGGTAGATGTTGTTGATATAACACGTCCACATGAAGTCGTCAGACTCGTGGCTACCATGGCCATCAACAATGAGAAGTCTCTTCCTCGAAGTTGAAGTCGATGGGCAAAAGACCCCCGTCAGCCATTCCAAAGCAATATCATTAGATGTCCACCCATTTTGGCTTGTTGTGAACCGCCAGTTACGTAATGGATCAAGGTCCTTCACGTCGTCGGGGAACCATTGTTGTTGGATGTCTTGTGCCCTTGAAGATAACCAACAGAGAGAGAGCGACTCCTGTTGCTGAGATACACTCAATGATCGTCGTCCAGATCCGAGATTCAGGGTGCTTTGACAGTGCCTCCTTCGTCTCCGATGAACCAACACATAAGCCATTGATCCCCATACCCTCCATAATCCCCGTTTCGTCCATATTCCAACGGTTTCGCGGGTCAACCGACTTGATGATCGGAATCGCGAGTAGACGGAACCAAGCCTTGATCACATCAATACTAGCTCCACTCAGCCGCTTGATGTCCATACTTTTGTTCCTCTTCGTCTTCAGAACCGGATATCTGTTGATGAACTTCTGGAGCCAATGCTTGCCAACAGTCTGGTCAGATCCAGAGGCATGGAGGATGCGGTTGGCGAAGGTCTGGATCTGCCTATGCTTGACAGGAAGCCCAAGAGCCTCTTGGGCAAGGACCCAATCGGCCAAGTGTTTTTCTGGATCGGGGCTGAGCTTCTGCATCACCTGGGCTTGGTATTGACCCTTTGGTTGGGCGTGGGCAACGACTCGGCCTTGAAGGGTAGAAAAGGGGACCCCCCAGGCCTCGCTAGCCTTACGGATAGATTGTCCATCCTTGACAGCCTGGATTGCCAACTGAATGATGTCTTCGCGAGCCATAGCAAATATGTTAAAATGAGAGCAACAGGATTAGGATTGGGCTTGATTTGGTGAAACTGTGTGGGTTGGAACAGAGAGGGTGCCGGATCAGGAGGGAGTGAAAATTTGATCGGCTTAGTGGCCTGATCGGAAACGGGGTGCACGGACTTACCGTTTCTCCCGACGTGTAAGAACCTCTGGCCGACCAGTTCTAGGTCGGGATTCAACAGTGGTTGAAGATTCGAATCGATGAAGTGTGAGTTGGACTGCCGCCCGGCTGATGCCAAACGCGCGCGCAACGGCCGACTGGCTTGCCCCAGCTGCAACGGCACCTATAATAGCTGCACGTGCAAAAGGCGACAGTTCCTGGCCAGGTTGGCGCATGGCCGTCAATTTGGCCCCGATTTCGTCTAAATTGACCATGGTAGGCTGGAGTTCTGTTAGTTGGAAGATTGAAGATGGTGAGCAACGTGTCGCGTCGCGCGTTTAATTGATGTGGGGTGCCGCAGACTTTTGAACCCCCACTGTACATGCCTTGCACGATCAGAAACGGCGGGAGCCACCACCCTTCGCCATTGATGCACTCAATCGCCGTTGTCCATTCCCTATGGCCAGGCTGAACTGCCTTGCCCCTTCCACGTCGATCAGCGCGTGTCACTACCATAGACGCGCAGATAACACCCATCATAAAGCCGGTCTCGTCGAAGTTGTAGAGGTCATAGTCGTGGATGCCGTACTTCGCTCTCATGTTGTGCACAAGCTTGAACCACGCGCCAATAAGCTCTAGATCTTTTGCAGAGGGCTCTCTGGAGACTTAGTCGTATGCGCGATTGAATCGCGTCTTGAGTTTTGGTTGTCGCTTGACGAACTTTTCGGCCCAGTGCTTACCGATACGTCCGCCGTCGCGTTGCGCGAGTAGCAAATTGGCCATATCCTCAACACCAGCGTAATGGGGCGGAAGTCCTCGCGCATCTAGGTCCAATATATATCGAACAACTGCCTCCTCTTCAATGGCTGTCAATCGATGAGCTGCAGGTCCCGACTCGGACTTTGGCGTTCGTCCGTTCATTCTGTGGCGGAGCGTAGCTTCGGGCACGTTGTAGATTTCTGCAGCTTTCCGGCGACTAAGTTTCTGGTCTCGTCGAATAGCTTCAATTGTCAGGATAACCTGGCTTTCTTTACAGCGGGTTGCCATTGCTGGTCGCAGAGAAATGCTGTGTAGCAGATGGAAAGGTGCGTCGCTTAGGGGTGTGCGTCGCTTGGGGGTGGATTACGTTACCTGAAGGAGGTTTGAACATCTCTAGTAAATTTAATAAAAGAATTATAATTATCCTAAGATAGTTAGACTAGATCGCTAAATGATAGGGTCGTAACTACTATTATATTTTTAGCTATCGGACTAGGGATTATGATATAAATTATCTCTGATCAAAACCCTAAGTTTATATTAAAGATACAGCAAGGGATCTTCAAAGTACTTAACATTAAGCTTCTCTTCTCTATGGCGTATTACCTTTAGATAGATAGGTTATTGGAACGAAAAAACTAGATAATGAAACTTACTATCCATTATTATATAACAATAGACTATAATTCCTTATAGATAGATATAACGTGATCCACCATTGACCCGCGCACCCCATTGACCCGCCCACTTTTCTAGACATCTTCATTCCAAACTGCCAGAGGTCCATTGAAAACCAATGCAATCAATTGAAACTACTCAGCATCGCATCAACTATCCATTTTTCCGGCCTCTGGGCATGTCCTTGCATGGTGGCCAGCCTTGCGACAGATACTACAGAGCCGCGAACCCGCCCGACGCCTCTTTGACGACCCTTTCGTTTCCTCCTCGACGCGTCCTTCCTCGTCAACTACGCCCTTCTTTTCCATTATATCCCTGGCCTGGCTTCCATGCATAGCCCCTCCATCCTAGTAGCGGCGAGGCCGCAGCGGAGGTGCGGAGGTTTTGATCCAGCGTAGGCATGGTTTTTTCTACCGAGTTAATCGCTGAGGGACCGCGTGTACTTAGTGCCTAGCGTGATAAGAGAAATAATAATATACGGATGTCCCTACCAAAAGTCTTTTCTCACCGCCTTTTATTTTTCTGCCCGGCAGAATTATCCAGTTGGCTAGCCCACCACAGTTCTAAATTTGGAAGGCTTGAACTTCCCCGCATCGTTTCTATCTTTTTTTCCTTTTCACATTCTGTTTACTACAGTACCTCTAAGTACAATGCCGCATTACGATATTGCTACCCGCGCACAAGCGCTTACTCTTAAGTTGATTCTACAGCTTGATAATAAACAGATTAAAGCCATTACTGGTTAAAGCCCCGCACTATTACTAGTATGGTTGATAAAGCTCTCGAACGTGGGTTTGATCCAAATGCCTCACCCCCTGTTATCCTCTATATCCACGTTGCCGATGCTCCACGTTCCGGCCGTCCCCCAAAGCAAGATCAACATAAAGATGAAGTTCTGGGGAAGGTTCGGAATAATCGGTATGGCCGTGAGATAACCTGCACTTATATCGCAGAGGAGCTAGGAAACGCCATCTATGACGGTCTGGCGCATCTTACGAGCGGCTGGGTTAAAGAAAACGAAGCCAACTCGCAAACCAGGCTTGACGGAGCGGATGAAGAAGGAGCGCTTTCAGTTCTGCCTCCTCCACCAAGACTGGACTCTCGAAGATTGGAAGGGAGTTATCTGGTCTGACGAGACGTCTGTTATTCTTAATCATCGCCGTGGTGGCTACCATGTTTGGAGAACTTCACAAGAGAAGTATGTCAAATCTTGTATTCGGGAGCGATGGAAAGGATTTGCCGAGTTCCAATGCTAGGGCTGCTTCACATACGATTCAAAAGGGCCATGTCATATCTGGCATCCAGAGACCGCACAGGAGAGGAAGAAGGCAGATCAAGATCTTGAAGAGCTCAACGCCGAGCTAGAACCTATCTTACGTGCAGAATGGGAGCTGGAGACTAAGATGAAGCGCTTGAAGCTTTGCGGTATCGGCGGCAAACCTCCACAATGGAAGTGGGATACTAAGCATGGCAAGCTCACACGGAGGTAAGGCACTGGTGTGGATTGGTACCGCTACCAGAAAAAGATCTTGATCCCAAAGCTTATCCCATATGCTAAAGAAGTGCGGTCGCAACGCCCTTGTTCAGGAAGATCTAGCTCCTTCACACGCCCACTATGCACAAGGGGCGATCTACAACACTGCAGAGGTTGCTCGACTGGTCTGGTGCCCCAACTCCCCAGACCTCAATATGATTGAGCCATGTTGGCCACATATGAAGCGCCAAACTACGAAGAAGGGAGCTCCAAAGAGCAAAAGGGAAGCCCAAGTGGTATGGAAGAATACGTGGGCCGAGTTGGAGCAAGCCAGAATACAGAGTTGGATTGAGAGGATCCAGTTTCACGTACAGGAGGTAATTGGCCTAGAAGGAGGGAATAAATATAAGGAAGGAAGCCCAAAAGACCGCCGGGAAGATGTAGTTACGAGGCCAGGGCCCAATACTATGTAAATATTATTATTATTTCCTACACCGATATGCCCTGGGGCGCGCCGGTCTTTCTACTGCTATTTAGAAAGGAACCCGTACCGTATAGGCCGGATAAAAACCTCTGTCTACCATTTTGAGACAACAATCTATGAATCCGTCATACTGCAAAAGAAAGGAGGCCCTTTGCCGGCCTCCCGGCCCTCTAGCCCTCCCCATCCACTGTTTCTAGCTCCAGCCTTCTGGCCAGCCTATACTCCAGTAGCCGGCCAGAGTCCATCAGCCAGCCAAGGACCTTCCTAACAAATCTTCTGCTCCGGGCACCTACTCCCCGTAATACGGTTTGTAGGTCCCGATGTGACCGAATCTCTCTGCCGTCCCACGGCCTTTGTAACGGCGGGTCGGGGCACCAAACCACCAAGTGCTCCACCGTCTCCCTGCCTCTCCCGCACTCGCAATAGGGGGTGCGGACCTCCGGGACTTTCACCCTGAACAGGTAGTCCCGGAGGCCTATATCCCCGATACGGGCCTGGGAAAGGAGGGAGCTCTGCGCCTTTGTAAGACCTTCGTGTCTCATCAGAGCTTTGTCGGTAAATAAGAGGGCTGGGGGGTCTTCGTCGGCTATCCTCCTGTTTAATACCCTCTGTCGAGTAGCACTTTGTTGACTAGCTCTCTGTTGTTCCCACCGGGCCTGCCAGGCCAGTTCGACCACCTCCTTGGTATTCGACCCCCTATCCTTCCCCCCGATCTTCCATTTGTAGTTAACCCACTGGGCCACTACACTAGCGGCTAGTTCAGTGGGCGTGGGACTCTGCGGGCCCTGACGGGGCCTCCGGCCTCGGGTTTTCCTCCTCTTGTTGAACGTTCGGTAGACCTTATTGCAGGCCTCAGTGATTAGATGCCCCGTGGTTATTCTCTCAGCCTCCGGCCCAGCCCCTGATTGTAGGGCCTGCTTCTGTAGCCGGCCCTCGAAGTCAGCCAGCCGCTTGTTGAGATATAAGTCTAGCGGTGGCACCCAGGCCTCTGTTTCTAGGCACCGAATAGGAGCTGACTTGTATGCCCCTACTACTATTCGGAGGCTCCTGTTCTGAGCTTTTGACAAGACCTTTGCAGGCCCCTTCGGCCCTGTAGCTCTTGGAGCTGTTGGTTGGTGGAAGCTGGAGGCTCCGTAAGCTATGGCACTGCGGATGCACTTTACGTAGACCTCCCGAGCCCTGGATAGGCTCGGGCCCCACGTCTTTGCTGCAATCCTCGATAAGGCGAAATCTTGGGTTTTGAGTTTCCGTTCCACAGCTTGTTGGTGCGCCCTCCATGATAGCTTCCAGTCCAGCCAGACTCCTAGGAACCGAGCCGATTCCACTGGCTTAACTGTGCTGTAGCCACTAGCCCCTGGGTGGGCCAGGGCCACCGGGTTCTCCCACTGTCTCCGACCTTTGTTGAAGTGAATTAATTCGCACTTTTAAGGTGCGAACGCCATCCCCCGGGTACCAGCCCACTGCAAGCAGGTCTTCCAAGCTTTTTCCAGTTGCTGTGTATTGGTCTCTGGGTTCTTTCCAAAGGCCAGTAGGTTTGTGTCGTCTGCGAACCCTACTATGCTAACCAGTGGATGAGCTGTTTTCAGGGCCTGATATAGGGAGGCAATGTAGAGGATAAAGAGGATCGGGGATAGTGGTGAGCTCTGGGGGACTCCCGCTATGACTGGGATGTCCACTTTGGATAATATGTTAATCTATATATCATCTTATATATTTAAGTAGATTAAAAAGTTCTTGTGGCTAGATAGAGTATAGGTAGAACTTAATAGGTAAGACGAGTTAAGATAGCTGGGGTTATACATAATTATTTCCTACACCGATATGCCCGCAGGCGCGCCGGTCCCTCAACTGCTAATTCTTCTACATACAGAGGAGACCGTACCCTGAGGCCGGATGAAAACCTCCCTCCGTCACCCACACTCTGAATCCTTCACACTACAGATGCCGGGGCCTGGTTAGCGTCGCCGAGCCTGCCGTAGCTCTCCATGCAATCGGCTATCCCCGGAAGCCATCAATCTCAGTTACTCCCGTTTCCACAACCAGGATGATTCCAGCTTCTTGGGTTTGCACGGACATTGTGTTTTGTGGTGAGATGGAGCATTTGCCTTTGGAGGTCGTGTTGCAATAGAAAGGAGCGAGGGTCAATGGTGGATTAATTACGTTATTTCATTTTTATAAATATTATTCTAATTAACCCTTCTATAATACCCTTTATGGTTCCATAACCCTATGTAAGCTAACTTTTATTTCTATCTCGAACTATAATAAAAGCAATCCAACTTGTAAGATAATATATAGTATTATCATTCATACTCCGCTATGCCCTAGGGCGTGCCGGACCCTCAGCTATTTAGTGTACAGGAAAACCGTGCCCTTCCGGGCCGGGTGAAAAAACCATACCAACAATCAAGGAACGGTGCGTTCTGGTGTGTCTGCGTAGACAAAGAGAGGAGGCCTCCTGGTCTCCGAACGGGGGCGCTTCAAGCCGCCGCTTCCAGCTCGAGCCTCCTGGCTAAGTTGTACATCGGCAGCTTCCCCGAGTCCATCAGCCAGTCGAGAACTCTCCTCGCGAGCCGTGCAGTCGTGGGATTGATGCCGTGTAGAACAGAGTAAAAGTCCCGTCGTGTCCAAATTCCAGTTCTCTCCCATCTTCGAGTCAACGGTGGGGCCAAACACCACACTACCAGGTGTTCGGCAGACTCTCGTCCCTCGCCACACTCGCAGGCAGGAGTCAGAACCTCCGGGACTCCCCGTGTAAACAAGAAGTCCCGTAAGCCTATTGCTCCCGTCCGGATTTGAATCAGCAGCGAGCTCTTCGCCTTGCTGAGACCGTCGTGCCTCCTTCGGGTTTCGTTCCGGAATAGCGTCTCCCGCTGATGGTCAAAGTCGTCCGCCGGCCTGGTGATTGCCCTGCCGTCCTGTTCCTTTAACCACCTTTATTAAATAAATATAATAGTTCAAATCTTAGATAGCCACCTAGATATATAGTAAATCCAATTTTTGAATACTTAATCGTTGTTAAAACCATATATCTCCCCTCTAGGATGTGGAAACGGAAAAACTATTTGCCATTGAGGCTATCCGTACGACCAAAAGTATGTCTCGCTGACGTGCAGCCGGGATCTACAACGTCCCTGAAACAACCCTCCGCGACAGGATGAAGGGAATCACCCTAAAGCCAACAGCTACCACGGCCGTTCGAATTTGACGAAGATCGAAGAGGAGGTGATTGTTCAATATGTACTTGACCGAGATTCGCGTGGGCTTTCGCCTAGGCCTGCGGACGTGATTGATATGGCCAATCTTCTGCTTCAAAAACGCGATGCGCGACACGTCGGAAAGAACTGGACAAGCCGCTTGATTGCACGCCGCCCAGGGTTGGATACGCGTTTTAATCGCGTCTATGACTATCACAGAGGTCGCTGTGAAAATCTTGCAATTATTGAGCCATGGTTCCGACGGGTTGCCAACATGCGTGCGAAATACGGCATCCTCGACTGCGACTTCTACAACTTCGACGAGACGGGCTTCATGATGGACATGATACGGCCAGGCATGGTGGTTACGCGCTCGGATCGGGTTGGTAAACTCAAGGCCATTCAGCCGGGCCATCGAGAATGGGCGACGGCAATTTGCATCATCGCTGGCGACGGGTACGTGGTGCCGCCTTTCTTGGTGGTGAAGGGCCGTTTCCAGCTCGCCAGCTGGTACTCGGAACAGCAGATACTGGACGACTGGGCCGTCACAACAACAAACCGACGGATGGACAGATAATAAGACTGGCCTGGAATGGCTGCAGCATTTTGATGAGCACACTAAACACCGTCGGAGGGGTGTATATCGGATGCTGGTGCTCAAGGGTCATGAGTGCCACGTCAATGCCGAATTCGAGGACTACTGCAAGGAGAACAACATTGTCACCATATTTGTCTGCCTCCGCATTCCTCGCATCTTACCCAGCCTCTCGATGTCGGGTGTTACAGCGTCTTGAAGAAGATAGATGTACGGTGGTGAAATCGAGCACTTCATCAAGGCCCGGATCACGCACATCACGAAGCCCGAGTTCTTCCTTGCGTTCAAAGCCGCCTTCCGCCGGACTTTCACCCAAGAAAACGTTCTCGGGGGTTTTCGAGGGTTTGGACTCGTCCCCTACGACTGGCAAGCTGTCCTTTCAAGGCTAGATGTCAGGTTGCGGACACCAACCACCCCTGGAATACCCGATGGGCCACCAACAGCTTGGGTCTTTAAGACGCCCAAGACTACCAACGAAGCCCTCTCGCAGTCTACTCTTGTCAAGAGTCGGATTGCAAGACATCCATCGAGCTCTCCAACCCCGATTGTAGCAGCTGTTGATCAGCTTTCCAAAGGGATGCAGGCAGTTTCCCATGTGGTCATCCTTTTAGAGGCCGAGGTACGGACATTACAAGAGGCCAACGAAGCACTTTCTAAGCGCCGGAGGGCCAAACGGACGCGTCTCCCCGTGGATCCATCTCCTCGAAAGGGCTCACCCTCCTTCCGAGGTCAAAGTAACGAAACAGATAAAATGAGTTGTAACCTCTGTTCGATCGGTGCCCTTCTGCTACTCCGCTTCGGCCCCGCCGCGGGCCTCCTCGTTGTTCTCATTTTCCCAGCTCTACCGCCAGCCGGAACTCGTTCAGCCTCCCCAGCCCAAGTACCCACCGCACCACTATGGCAGCCTTCTCCACGTCATCGAGCCACTCCAGTAGCTCTGCGCCGTCGTCTGGCCAGGGCTGAGGTTTATCTGCGGCTCCGTTGCATTCGAGTACGAGGTGTTTGAATGTCTCGCGCGCCATACCGCAGCGGCATACCGGCGTTACCACCTCGGGGACCCTCCTAGTAAAGAGGAACCCTCGAAGCCCAATCTTCCCAGTCCTCGCTTGCACTAGGAGGGTACTCTTCGCCTTCGATAGCTCCCAGGCTGGGTCCCTCGACCGGTGTCGGTTCATGATAGAGGCGTCGAACCGCGCGGTCGCATCGGCCGGTTCGAGGGCCCGCCCCGGGTTCCTAGCGACCACCCTAGCTACCTCACTCTCCCATCTTCCAATCCACTCCCTTCTCATTGCCTCCTCCATCCACCTCTCGAGCTGTTTCTTGTGGTTTGGTCCTGGGCCGGTCGACCCTGGCTCTAGCTCCTCCTTTTCCGGCCTCGACTCGAGGGGGGCCCACTCCTGTGCCCACCTCTTCTTCCATTCGCCTGAGCCCTTTTCCGCTGGTGCCGTTGCTATATCGGCTACCTCCCGCCGAGGTCTTCCTCTCCCCCTTCTGCGCCTCCGCCGCAGGATCGCAGCGATTGTGGCAGGGGTCTGGAGGATTAGCCTCGCCTCCTCTGATATCCTAACCCGATCCTCGAAGGCAAGGAGCCTCTTGTTGGGGTACAGGTCGATGGGTGGGCAATAGGTTTCTGTCTCCAAGCTCTGTATTGGGGTAGCCTTGTAGGCCCCAGCGACCACCCTGAGGCACTCCGATTGGATCTTTGCGAGTTCCTTTGCGGCCCCGCGGGGGGGGCCTACCTCTGTAGGGGTGTGGAAGGCTGAGGCTCCATACGCGATCGCACTTCGGATCACTTTCGAGTAGATCTCCCTCACCCTCGCGAAGGTACACCCCCACGTCTTTGCGGCGAGCCTTGTTAGGGCATAGATCTGGGTCTTCATCTTCTTCCTCACCGCCGTGAGGTGTAGAAAGAACTATAGGAGAATAAACTATAAATTTTAGTTGACTTTAGATTAAATACTATAATGTTAAAGGAATAGCTTATATTAAACCCCTTTTATTATCACTCCATATTATAATAGAAGCGTTAAGAGAGGAGATAATATTGCAACTACCGTTACCAAGCATTGATGGGCGGGCATGGTGGCAGTGGCCAAACTGTAGGCAACTGCTGTTATGCATAAAGGGTAAAGCACTGCCTGTGCGCAGCTGTGACAATGGAGAGAGAGGCTGGCAGAGCGGAATACAACTTGTTCTAAGTCGGCTGAAAGTTGGATGGGCTAGCTAATCTCGGGTGTAAGAATAAGAGATACCCTGTCTTTAATTCTAAGGCGCGAGTCTATCTATCGTGGTGCTACTACTGAGAGGCGAGTCTAGCAAATATTAATTCATCTACATCCATGCACACCCACAACAAGCTAGAAACCAGCCCCCGTGGCAGGGCCATCCGCCAAGTCTGGTATCTTATACACAGGGTCCGCGGCCGCCAGCGCCTCCTCCGCGTCCGCCTTGGGCGGGTAGATCAAAACACCGTTGACCCACTTCTTCACCTTCTTGGCCTCGGCGCCCGTGAGCTGGACCTCTCGTTCCCAACCCTTCGTGACGACAGCGCCCCAGGGGCCCAGGTCCAGGCAGGTCCCGTAATCCGCCTGCTCGTACGGGACTTGTGGGACGCCCAGGAGGTCCGCGGCGGCGTTGTAGCCGGAAGACCGGCCCAGTATATTGGCGTGCTGGCACGACATCATGGCGCAGTTGCCGTCGTCGTCCGTGGCCGCGTGGGCCGTGTCGCCGGTGGCGTAGACGTGCGGCTCGGACGGGACGCGGAGGGTCCGGTCCGTGTGCAGACGCCCAAATGTGTCCTTCTCCCCAGCTATCTGCTGCGTCAGGGCGTTGGCGGCTACGCCGCCCGTCCAGACCGCCGTGAACGTCTCGATGCGCTCGCCCGAGGCGAGAGTGACGCCCTCGGCGTCAACAGCCGTTACGGCTGAACCCAACTTCATCTCGACGCCGAGCGACTTGAAGGCCTCGGTGATGGCGGGCCGTGGGCCGGGGCCAAGCTCTGGTCCGATGTGCTCATTCCGATCTACGACCACGACGCGGACGTTCGTGTCTGGGCCCAGGATGGCCCGTAGCCGGGCCGGAAGCTCGGCGGCAATCTCAATCCCGGTGAATCCGCCGCCGCAAACGACGGCCGTATCGCGGGCAGGACTTGGTGGCAGATTGGCAACGCTCTTGAGGTGGTTGTCTAGCTTAACTGCCTCGTCTATGGAGTCAATGCTGAATGCGTGCTCGTCGAGGCCGTCTATTTTGGGGCGCACAAGGCGGCTGCCGGCCGCGACGACCAGCCGGTCATATGTGACGCTGGACCGTGTACCCTGTGGGTCGAGGACGCTGACTTCATGGCTTTCGGTGTTGATCTCGTCGACGGTCCCTTTAATGAATCGAACGCCTGTGGCGGCGAAGAGTTCCGTCAGGGAAGACTTCATGTTTTCAGGTCCATCCTCGTAGAGGCGGGGTCGGACAACCAAGTCGTCACTCGGGGCGATGACGACTACGTCGATGTTGGACGCTCTCTCGGTGGCATTATAGACAATGGCGCGCCTGGCGGACAGGGCGCTCCACATGCCGGCAAAGCCAGCTCCGATGATAACAATTCGCTTTTGTTCGCCAGCCATGACAAACTATAGTTCTAATAAGGCGCTTGCAAAGTTTAGCATGAGAAAAAGAATCGACCTCAATTCCGAAAATGACAGCCATATTTATAGATTAATGGGAGCCCGTGGACTCTCACTTTTCCTTGATCTCTAAGCGTCTTCTTCCCGCCGGGTGGTCTCCCCTGTGCGGGCTGCCCGTCCCGGAAAAGTGGTTCGGCGGGAATTGCATGCTTGTACTGTGACTTGTGACCCCACATTTGCGCACGCCAGTAGCAGGTAGCAGTACCACGGATACCCGAGCCCTCCGCCGGGCGGTCTGAGGTGGGTACCCGCTCGCTGCGGCGCTCCTCCCGGGCAGACTCCGAGTTGCCGCATTACCCTCACTCATTAACAACCAACCCTGGTAACGGTATCACCCCAGTGCCTGCTTCAACATACTGGATTCTCATGCGCGTTGCCAGCGCTACGCCATGGCCGGCGAAAAACCTGTGCCGCGTGCCACGCGGGTCTCGATCGCCTGCATTCCCTGCCGCTCCCGGCACACCAAGTGCGACGCCACTCGCCCTTATTGCCGTCGCTGCTCGTCCGAAGGCAAGAAATGCTACTACGAAAAGTCGCGAAGGGGCGGTCTGGACCGGGCGACGTTGGCCGCCCGCAGGAACCAGCGGAACCGCGATGCAGAGTCGTCCTCGTCCAGCGGCCTCATGGGTAGCCTCGAGTCTCACGACGTGTCCTTGGAGGGTGACCCGGCGCATGCCGGTAGACCATGGCAACCTCCAGCGTCGGATAACGGCAGTACCGGATTTGACAGCCGTTCGATTGCCGCCTTGATCGACCCATTATTCGGTATCCCCGACTCCATTCACTCCATTCACCCGTCTGGCTGGACGGAGAACGACCCGCTCATCGGCCTGTACTACGAGCACTTCCACCGTTTCCATCCCTGCGTTCTTCCACAGCGATATCTCAGAAGATACCTGCAGGACCCCAGCAGGCGGGCTTGCTTGGAACCCCTAGTCTCAGTTCTTCGTTTCATAGGCTCCCTCTACGGACTGTCGGCCGAGTCTTCGAAGCTTGAGGAGCAGGCTCGGAAATGCAACAACTCCCTACAATGTCCTGCGGGGCGCCTGGATCGGGCCTTCCTAGTCCAATCGCGCCTTCTGCTCTCCATCGCCCTATATTGGTCTACTGACATGGAGGAGTCTCGCTGGGCGCTGGACCACGCTATACGCGATGGCTTTGACCTGGGCATGCACCGCCGGCCCTTCGCGGCAGAGAATTCTGCAGGGGATCCGGTGCTGGAGGAGAGTTGGAGGAGGACGTGGTGGCAGGTAGTAAGTTCGAAGCGCGAGGCATGGCCAGGCTTGTCCGGAGTCTGGCCGCTAACCCTCTCACGCTTAATAGGTCATCGTGGACGCATATTTCGCGGCCATCGAGCGGAAGCCAATTTTCGTTGCGCAAGATGAAGAGCCAACTCTTGACATGCCGTGCGAGGAAGAAGTGTATGTGTCTGGGGTAGGTCTCGCGCCGTCACTTACCTTACCTATACTTCTGTGTTAGCGACTGTTAACAATACTGTTTTCTGATTCTGGACAGTCGATACCCGTGCCCAAGACTGTGGAAGAGTTCGACAATCGTGAGTTCGCGCCAGACGACCACGTCTACTCATCCTTTGCATATCTTATAGGCTCGATCCGCTGCGCTTCATCTGCGGTAGCGATCGCCTGGCAGGGGTCAACGCAAAACATGTCCCGGGGAGGCGGTTGAGGCGGTAGGCGTCATGATTGAGGGGTGGTTCCTCTTGCTCCCAGAGTCGAAGCGCCAGGTCATGGGCAAGGACGGGATTATCGATGAGCTCATGTTCCAAGCTCACATGGGGGCCAACGCGTACGTGGATCCTCATCGTGGCTGATAGCCCTGCCAAAAAAGCCTCTGGATAGATAGTACATGGAAACTAACCATGCCGCAGTTGTGTCCTCGCTGTACACCGTCCCTACTCGAACCTCCTCTACAACCCCATGGAGATAATATCCAGCTGCGCCACCGGCTCGCCCAAGCCGTTGCCGATCGGCAACCTTGTCAACGTGCATACCACGCGCTGTCTGAAGTCCGTCGAAGCCCAGCTGCGCCTCATGGCGCTGCCCGCCCGCCCCTTCTGCCACACCCCCTTCGTCATCTGCATGATGACGGCCGGCACGATCCCGTTGCTCTCGGCCTGCAAGTTCCTCTTCACGGAAAAGCGGCTCGGGATTGCGCGGCATCAGATACGCATGAGTATCGGGTGTCTCAAGGCCATGGCGGGCATATGGCCGCAGGCTGCGGTGCATGTGAGGCAACTCCAGACAATAGCTCAGGAGGTTCTGGGGCTCCCTTCTCGCGAGGCTGCTGTTGCTCCGGACGCCGGGGCCAGTGGTAACTCTTCTAATGGGACTCCGTCCGGCTCATCCACGGCCGTGGAACCATTCGAAACGCAGCTCGATGGCCCCTTTCCGCTTGACTCACTGGACGATGGCTTTCAGGTGGGCTGGGATAATCTGCAGCACGATCTTGCCTGCTACGACTTTTCTGCAATCGGTTGAGTGATACCAAAACTGGTCTTAATATTAGTGCATATTGGTCTAGCATCTCACCCGAGACGATTAAGAAGGGTGAGACCGTATTGCCATGGTTGGTATACAACGTATCTTAAAGGGGGGGGGGGGGGG